AAACCTGAAGTTTTCCTGGTGCAGTTAAGAATTAACTTGGGTCAGGGATATGGTGGTATGGTGGCATGGTGGTATGGTATGGTCAGGGGTATGGGGGTATGGTGCCGCCAACAGGTCAACCTGTACCTGCAAGGCGAGTCCATCAGCAGCCTGATGGTGCCCTCAGGCTTCCTGACCCCAAGATTGCCGCTGTGCCATTGGCCAGACCCCAACAACTTGGGACCAAGTTTATCAAGAAATTAAATGGCCAAAAGTTAGGTATGGGGGAGTTGTGCCCACAAACCACCTCCGGCTCAGCTACATAACCTCATTTATTGGCCTTATTTCAGAGACCCATAGATAAATCTCAAAAGAGATCAAAAGCCACAGTTAATCTGGGTCCCACACATGGCTGAACAGACTAGGGTAAGTCGGAGAGGGGCATATTGGTCTGTGCCTGCCCAAGCAAAGCCCCCAGCAGTCACTTGCTTCCACAAATCAAAAGCACCGCCATACCCCTGGCCTCACTCCACTGTCTCAGGACAGACCTCACCAAAATATAATCTGCTGGATATAATCTGCTGGAAATTTTGGTATGCGGGTTTTGTGACTGAAATCTCCAGGCTTTCTTGGGGTCGACTACCTCCCCCCAACTCCCTGTACTTCCAGAAGCCTCAGCAGTCACATCCACACCCCAAAGCTGCCATCAATTGAAAAGCTACTCTGGCCTTACAATCCCAATAAAATTACCGAATACCCTGAACAAACACCATGATCTCTTAGCACCTGTATCGCAAACCATAATGCATAAAAGGAAAAGGAGAGAGAAAGCAAGAAGGAAAGTGCCTCCCATCGAGGGAGGCTGGGGGTAGGGGGTGGGGGATTGGAGGATGGTGGTGGGGAGATGGGGGACATTGGTGGTAGGAAATGTGCACTGGTGAAGGGATGGGTGCTGGATCATTGTATGACTGAAACCCAATTATGAACAGCTGTGTAATGATCTATCTCATGGATATCCAATTAAAATTTTTTTTTAAAAAGCATTAACTTGGGAGGCCAGGATGTGGCTCAGTGGTGATGGAGGAGTGGTGATGGCAGGTCTCTGTTTTCATTCATGGATCCCAGGTTTTTTAATGTTTTCAAGAGTGAAAATATTGAGTAATAAAGATGCTCAGACTCAGAGTTAGAAAATAGAAAAGTTTTATTGGGAATTTTAAGAGAAAGAAACTCCCCCTACGGGGTACATATTTAGGATAAGTTGAGTATGGCTCATTTAGTGGGTTTTTAATGGGAAAACTGGATCTTTGTGTCACTTGTCAAAACAAGAATGTTTACAGAGAATTCGAGGATTTCAGAGATGTCTGGCTTGTTATGAGTCTGTTGAGTTATCTGTTGTTTCTTGGTCTCAGTGAGCCTAAGGTCTGGGGCACAATCTCTGATCTTGGGGAATTATTGATTTCCCAGTCTCAGAAAGAGCCAAGAAATTTTCAGGAATATTTAAATGTGGAATAGAGACAGCTTGCAGCAGCTGGCCAAGGGAAACTGAGGCTTCCTCTTTCAGTGCCTTGCATGTTTGAGACCTGGGTTTGTCCACTGTACAGAAGAAAGAACTCAGGTCAGAAGAAAACTCAAAGGGACTGGAGCACATGCCCGGCCATGCCTGAGGCCTGGGGGTTTATCCCTGGTGCTGCAGGAGTGACCTTGGAGGCTGCTAGCACCACTGGGCCCCAGCAACACCACATCACTGGCCTAAGCACTCGACACTTCCACTGGCACAGTCTGGCCAGTATAGCTGGCTGGAGGTTGCTGAGCACTGCTTAGGAGCACCCCAAATAGAAATAGCTCTGGGGCTAGAGCGATAGTACAGTGGGTAGGGCGTTTGCCTTGCACGCAGCTGACCTGGGTTTGATTCCCCTGAGCACTGCCAGGAGTAATTCCTGAGTGCAAAGCCGGGAGAAACCCCTGTGCGTTGCTAGGTGTGACCCAAAAAGATAATAAAATAAAAGAAAGAAAGAAAGAAAGAAAGAGAGAGAGAGAGAGAGAGCTCCAAGCCAGGAAGGTGACTTAATGGGGAACCTCAAGCGCCAGCCCCCGGCCCTTCCCACATGCCAAGCTGTGATCCTGACCTCTTGGTGCTACACTGAGTATATCCCAGACAGCACAACAAAAGGCAAAAAGGAGAGGAAAAAAGGCAATGACTCAGGCAAGTGGAGGGTCACAGAGATGGAAAAACTCAGGGAAACTTGGGGAGGGTGTGGCGTTCGCGTCCAGCATGAAATCAACCCCAGGCTGTGGAATCAACCCCAGACTATGCAAACAAAACATGCACTCTTTAAGCCATCTCCTCTGCCCCAGAGATATTTCTTTAAAGGTGTCCGTTGGAATAGAAGTTGGGTGCTGTTACAACCCACAAGAATCACGAATCACGACCATCCTGTTATTCGTTGATTGCCTCGAGCAGGCCCCAGTAAGGTCTCCTTCATCCTAGCCCTGAGATTTTTAAGAAAGTGCTATGTTCAAGGCTCTTTAGGAGAATGAGACCCTTCATTGTTACTGGTATTTGGCAAATTGGGTATGCCACGGGGAGTTTGCCAGACTCTGCCGTGTGGGCAGGTTACATTTGGTAGCCTGCCAGTTTATCCAAAGTAGGAATGAGATAATAAGATGTCATAATAAGATGTCCTGCGAAAGAGAACAGTGCAGTCTCCTGCCCCCGCGCCTGGCTGTCCTCGCCGGGGCCCCTTGGAGGTGAGCGGGTTGAGCTTTCCTCCCCGCCCCGACCAGGGCTCTGGCAGCCGAAGACCTCCAGGACCAGCCACCACCATGCTGAGACCACTCTCCGCACACCTGAAGGTACTGGCAGAGGAACAAAGGCAAGCGGGTCCTGGGGCTGAGATCTCCAAGCCTACTCAGATCGGGGCTGAGCATCCTCCACCCAGATCCTCCGAATTCCAGTAGGCGGGGGTCACATCCACCAACTGGCCCCCTGGCGCTGTGTAATCCCATCAACGGCCAAGACTCAGAGACTATAAGAGAATCCACAAAGACACCTCCTAATTCTTATAAGTAAGGGCAGGGTCCTTCTGTTTGGGGGCCACACCCAAAGCCTGGGGCTTACTCCTGGCTCTGCACTAAGGGATCATGCTTCGCAGCCCCAGGGGACCATAGGGATGCAGAGGATCAAACCCCAGTCAGCTGCGTGCAAGGAAAGCACCCTTCTGGCTGTATTATCTTCTTGGCCTTCAGGGGTAGGGCTCCTTACACCAGATGCAGACATATCTGCAAGATACGTGGAGAAAGAAGCTTCTGATCCAGTCGTGCCCTGGGAAGTGATGCCAGACTCGAGGTCAGAGTGCTGAGTGTCTCCAATCAGTAAAGGTCAGCTGTTGGGACTGAAAGGTCAGCAGGCCTTGCACACTAGCTACTGGGGTTCCATCCCCGGCACCCCATGTTTCCCTTGAACACCGCCTGGTGTTCAGACTAATTCCTGGGTGCGGAGTCAGGAGTCACCCCTGAGCACCGCCGGGTTCCGCCAGAAAGCAGAAAGATGTGGGGGAGCCACTTGGGAGCCAAAAGGTTCCACCTCGGTCCGGTGCTGAAAGGGAAAGTTCCTCCCGGACGAGGCGGAGGCGCGCGGCGGACACTCCATCCGCTGGCCGAGGCTGCCCCCTGCAGGCCTCAGCGGACTTCGCGTCTCTGCGCACGGTTTCTCCCCACGCGCCCCAGTCCGGGGGCTTTGCGAGCGGCCCGTGACTCCCCGCGGCCCTTCAGTGACCCGCAGGCCGGGTGCTTCGATGTTACGTGAATGTTCTGGGCTCAGAGTCCCGAACCACCTCATCCTGGCATCTCAGTGAGGTCCGCAAGGCCCAGAGAACCAGACCCCTGCGCTTGACCGGCCACGAGGGACGGCTGGCCGGCGCTGAAGGTCAGGACGGCGGCGCCCGCGCGGCCCGCGGCCCCACTGGGCTCGCGCCCGCTGGCCGGTCCGGCAGCCCCCTCGGGGAAGAGCGCCAGTCCGGAAGCCCCGGCTCCAGCGCCTTCCCGCGGACGCCGGGCTCAGGTGACGCGGGAGACGCGGGAGACGAAGGTGCAGGGCCGCGCTCTCCGGGAAGGTCGGCCGCGAGACAGGCTGGCGAGGCCGAGGCACGCGGAGGAGGGGACAGCGGAGGTGACGGGCGGGGTGAGCTAAGGACACTGTCCCGGACCCGCCGAAGCGTCCGGGCCAATCAGAATCCGCTTTCTGGGGCCTTGACATACACTTCCCTGAGCCAATCGGAGCGCTGCCCTCAAAGATGGGGCGGAACCCCAGAAAGGGCGGGAGCGCGAGGAGGCGGGTCCTGCCACGCCCCGTCCCATGACAGCCAATCAGGGGGCTCCGACTACGGGCCCGGCCCGCGGCACCAGTTGGGCTCCTGCATTCAGTGGACCTACATCAGGGGGGTGAAAGTTGCTTTGCTTTCCACCATGGGCGCAGAAGGCGATTTATTAGACTGCAGAGCTGGAATCCCCCAAATGGACGTTTTCCCCTGTTGTGTGCAACCTCCCCGGTCTTTCTGCTCTAGATGAGACCAGAGGCAGTGGCACCGGCAGATTCCAGTTAAACACAATGGGCGAGATGCACACTGAGAACAGTGTGGGTGCCGCAGCTCTTAGCAGGGGCCCTGACAGAAGCAAGGGAAATGCTGCGAAGGAAACAGTCCCAGAGTCAGCTGAGACTCAAGCACCCCATCAGGGCGCCAGGGTGACCTTGAGGCCCCTTCACTGCCGAGATTTCCCTTCTCAGCATTCACCTACATCCTCCACCAGCAATGCATGATATATGACACAAGCCCCAAGGTAAGAAGGTGGTGTTTGGGGCCAAGTCCCTATTCTGCAGCGCCTGAACCAACCTGCTTTCACACCAATCCTGTCCTATGAGCAACAAATATGGGACGATGGGCTGGTTAACACCAGGAAGGAGAAAGCAGGAAGAGAGTGCTGCATCATATTAAACATTTACTGTTTTTTGCAGACTGACCTTGGAGGAAGTCTCACGCCAGGAAGGCAGTGGTTAGTGTTCAGGTTGCTGAGGTCAAAAAGAAATCACTTTGAAGGGCAATGTGTGTGTGGGGGGGGGGGGGGGCGGGGGGCAGGGGAGAATCAATGGCCCCGAGCCAGGCAGGCTCTCTCCCCATTAATTCTCTGAGCTGAGGTTTCACATCGTAGGCCATGGTAATCAGAGCTGAGAGAACAGTAGATTGAAGCAGCAACAGTGTTGCTGGGGGAAGAAGAGCCTTGGGGTAGTGAGGGCTGCAGAGGGAGGAGGAGATGACAAAACTGGGACAATGAAAAATGTCATTTTGTGAGTCCAGGGAGAAGTGACCCCACAACATCTGAAGACATGGGGTGGTCCAGAAGCCAAGTGGGTCCAGCATCCGTACGAGGCAGCATCCTGGGGATGAAGGTAGCTGAAGCATGTCGTCTAGGACCGGGGAGGCAAGGGAGACCGGAAGGGGAGCCCAGAAGAAGGGGACAGGGTGGGGCACTGAAGTCCATGGAGAAGATTGCAGGTCCCCAGGTCCCGCTCATCAGAAGTTGGGCTTGTGCTTCTTGAGCTCCACCATGAGGTGGTGAATGTTGATGAGCTCAGCCCGCGCAGGGAGGGCGCGGAGTTGGGGCTGAGACAGGACCCGGTGGAAGCGATGGTAGAGCTGGATCAGCTGAGTCAGGGCTCCCTGGGGGGAGAAAGAGACAGATAGGAGTGTGGGGTGCTGCGAGGGATGGGGAGGACTCAGGTCCGAGCTCATGCAGAACTTGGGGCAGCGGAAGCTAAAGGGTCACTGGCATGAGACCGAGACCAGGGAACAGAGTGACAGAGGTAGCAGGGCTGGGGGCTACAGATCACCTGGATGATACTGGTTCCATTTCTGAAGTTGGTGAAACTCCGCATGACATCCTGACTCAGAGACTCCACTGATGACTTCCAGGAACTACCAAAGCCCCGGATCAGCTGAGTAACCCGGGCTGAGAGAGGAGGAAAGTCTCAGGGACCAGGCTGTGTGCTCTGACACCCCACTAAGCCTGTCCCCTGGCACAGTCGCCCTCATTCCCCAAGGATCTCTGGGGATCCTACCAGCCTTTTCCTGTTCTGTTCCCTCGTTCTAATACTTTCCCTTGGTTTTGGGGCCACACCTAGAGGGTGGCTGTGAGCTCAGGACTAAGCCCTGGCAGTGCTCAGGGAACCGGAATTCAGTCTAGGCTAGCCTGCATGAAGGGCACTACCTGACCTCCCCTCCTGTGCCATCTCCGGTCGCTTGTGGGTGTTTCCTGTTCCTCTTACCACTGGCCCTACCTGAAGACACCGTCCCATACCTTCTTCCCCTCGAAGTCGCTCAGCCTGTCCACGTTCAATCAAACCCTCAGCTTCCTTCACGAATGCCACCAGGCCCCCAAAAGGGGGCGAGAGCAACTCTTCGATGAATTCCTGAAGAAACACACACATACAGAATCAAATCATCTGGTATCAGCAGATTTGCCCAATTCTTGCATCGTGACTGGGCAGGATCCTTACTACAGTCCCAGGCTGGGAGGAGAGGGGCAGGAAGAAGGGGAGGAGGGCCCCCAGAAGGGAAGCGGAAATAACTCCCTCAGGAAACCCAGCCTGACGCCAGCCCTGAGTGGGGCAGTAGAGTCCAGACTCTTCATGAACGCCTCTGAGAGGGGTCTACACAGACATGAGGTGAGACCGCAGAGACAGTCTTTTTCCTCTTTAACGCAAAAGCAAAGGCAATCTCTCTCTGAAGTTAAATCCCCCAAGCCTCAATTTGGTCCACATGACACCCCTAATTAAGATCAAGCAATGAACTCAAAGACCACTAGGCATATAAAAGCAAGCCACCAAGAGTGCCAGTACAGACAAAAAACCATAAAATTCAACCAGCGAAGACTGCCAACATCAGAGCTGTTTTATAGGCAGCAACTACATATTCTGTATAAAATGTTCAAGAACTTAAAAGACACAAGAAAATTAATCGACAAGATTAAGAATGGACAGGCTTGGGGCTGGAGTGGGAAGGGTGTTTGCCTTGCACGCGGCCAACCCGGGTTTGATTCTCAGCATCCCATATGGTCCCCGGAGCACCGCCAGGAGTAATTGCTGAGTGCAAAGCCAGGAGTAACCCCTGAGCATCGCCAGGTGTGACCCAAAAAGCAAAAAAAAAAAAAAAGGATAAGGTTAGGACAAAAGCTAAAAATCTAACTTTTCAGATAAAATTTCTTACTTAGACTGGTTTTGGAGTCACTTTTGGTGGTACCTGGGAGTTCCTGGTTTGGTTGCTCTGGAATTTCTTCTGGCAATTCAAGGGCCCCTGCAGTGCTCAAGATCAAAACCAAATGCAAAACAAGTGCTCCTGTCCTTTGAGCCATTCCTCAGGCCCCAATAAAACTTTTGTTTTGGGACACACCCGGCCATGCTCAGGGCTCATTCCTGGTTATGCACTCAGAGATCACTCCCAGTGGTACTCAAGGGGCCATATGTGATGCCAGGGATTGAACCTAAGCTGTCCACTTGGAGGGCAAGTGCCTTACCCACACACTATATCTCCAGCCCCTGATAGCAAATCTTTTAATTGAAGCTGAAAACAGTCCAATGGTCATGGTGGACCATCACCCACTGCAGGTCCCATTCCTTGCACCACATGGTCCCCTGAACACTGCCAGGTGTGGCCCAAGTGTGGCCTGGAAGCAGTGCTGACATGATCCAGGTATCCCTGACACCAATGGGAGGATGCTCAGGCCCCTGCATGGAATCACTGGCCCACCCCTGAGCACTGCTTGGGAGCGCCCCCCCCCAAAAAAAAAACCCTGTTTAAAAAACAAAAGTCAAAGATAAAGAAAAACAAACAAACAAAAGCCCCGAGTCTTAAGGTCAAATAGATTGGAAAGGCTGAAGAATGACACAGCAAATTGGAATTTAAAAAGAAGAAATGACATAGACACAGACAGTCTAGGGGATGGAGATCCCAAGGCACCGAGAGGTATAGAAATCTAATTAATGCATCAAGGCAGCAGTCACTGCCAGTTGACAGAGCCAGGAAGACATCGTGTGCTCCTGAAGAAGAACACACCACTCTCTCGATCGTCACCATAGAAACAATCTACTGGAATCTGACCAGTCCTGTCCACAGAACTACATATTCCTGGGAAGAGTTATGGTTTAGCTACACCATGGAACGCAATTAGCAGAACTCACACTGAACACCACTCTACAGAAAGAAATGACTCAGTTTCTCTGCAAATCAATTGTCAAAAGGGACACAAAGATGAAAGGAAAATCTAAAGATTGGAAAGTGATATTAGAGACCATATACGGATCCTGCCTGGAACCTCATCTATGAGGTCAAGGGGGAACCTTGAATGCCACTTTAATTAAGACAATTTTTGTTTAAATATGAGGTGTTTTTAAAAACTGCCTCATACAGACGAAGGGTATGATACATAAGACCTAACTCAAAATCACGAGGGAAATGGGTGGGCCCAAGGAGGAAGAGGAGCGGCGGTGCTAAAACAGAGGGAAAAACCCAATCCAGAGAGGAAACACTTATAAGGTAAAAGTGAAGTTTTTATTTCATTTAAAAATAATCAACTTCCAGGGGCCAGAGCGATAGCACAGCGGGTAGGGCATTTGCCTTGCATGTGGCTGACCTGGGTTCGATCCCCAGCATTCCACATGGTCCCCCGAGCACCGCCAGGAGTAATTCCTGAGTGAAGAGCCAGGAGTAACCCCTGTGCATCGCCAGGTATGACCCAAAAAGCAAAAAACGAAAAACAAAACAAAAAAACCCCGCCAACTTCCAGGGCAGAGAGAAGTGTACAGCAAGTAGGGTGCCTGCTTTGTACATGGCCGACCTGGGTTCAATCCCCAGTACCACACACGGTCCCCTGAGCCCTGCCAGGAGTAAGCCCTGAACCCAGGTGTGGCCCCAAACAAAAAAATAAAAATAAACAACTTCCATTTTCAAGTAAAATCTCTTTTGTTTATCCCATAAAACATCCAGTTATGTCCACTGAAGGTGGTCAGGTAACTAATATGACACAAGAGAGTTCCAAGAATGGACCTTCCTAGAATGAAGGAACTTTGTCCATAACACTTTTGGAGAGTAAATAACCAAACTCAACTTATTGCAGTGGCCTAAATGCAATAATCCAAACTCTCAACAGAGTAACAGAGGGGGCTGGCAAAGGGCCAAGTGCATATTTGCATGCGGGAGACTTGGGTTCAGTCCCTGGCACTGCACAGTCCCTGAACACAAGGGTAGCTCCTGAATACTGTTGGCTGTGGTCCCCAAACCAAAAAACCTAATGGAATAGTGGGGGACTGAGAGAGGGTTGCAAAGGGAAGTTCGGTTAACAGGGAAACCTGCCCTAAAATGGGAGGCCCTGAGGCACAGGCCACTACTCACCACTGGAAACACCTTGCAAGCAGACAACGCGAGGAGAAAACACCAGACCACATCAGGGAGACCGCACAGGGCTGACATTTGTGGCAGGCATTAATAGCCCTTCTTTTGGGGGTTTGGGCCACACTGAATGCTCAGGGGTTCTTGAGGAAACCAGTTTCCCCACAGTACCAAATGGCAGCCCACACAGGACAGGAATCACTGGCGGCTGCTGCCCTGACCCCGGGAAACCCCACAGCACTTCTGTTCCCCAGGGTACCTCTCCGTGATCAGGGGCTCCGGAATGCTGAGCTGAGCTGATACTCCTGTCCATGAGAGGACGACCATTTCCTCTCCCCTAACCATGGCCAGCTCACCTCATCAACGGATTCCCCTGCGCCCAGGTCCACAACAGTCCCAAGCACCCTCAAATTATATGTAGCGAAGCCTGTGGTGGTTCCAGCTATGCCAAACATGTAAACTTAACCTTTTCTTTTTAAACCTTTTTTTTAGGGGAGATGTGTATATGGGGGGGGGGGGGAGCTCTGGACCCACCCAGTGGTGCTCAGGGTTGACTCCTGGATCAGTGCTCAGGGATGGGATGATCACTCCTGGCAGTGCTGGGACTGGGGGGCGACCACCTATGGTGCCAAGGATCAAACCAGGATTGCGAAAGACATGAGCTTTCCTTTTTTTTTTTTTTGCTTTTTGGGTCACAGCCGGCGATGCACAGGGGTTATTCCTGGCTCATGCACTCAGGAATTACTCCTGGAGGTGCTCGGGGGACCATATGGGATGCTGAGAATCGAACCCAGGTCGGCTGCATGCAAGGCAAACACTCTACCTGCTGTGCTATCGCTCCAGCCCCAAGACATGAGCTTTAATTCTGTACTCTCTCTCTGATCCCTAAACTTATCACTAAACAATATAATATTTAAAAAAAAAAAACCTGTTTCTAAGTAGTCTAAAGAGGAAGTGAAAGCTCTGGAGGAATAGTGCAGTGGCTCAGCCACCAGCCTATGGTCACAAGTTCAAATCCCTGGTGTCCACATGCACCAAGTGTGATCACAGCAGCTCTGTGATCCCTGGTGTCACAGGAGATTTCCAGTAAGGGGCAAGAGCAATAGTGCAGTGACTAGGACCTGGATTTGATCCCTGACATGACATGTGATCCTTAACACACCACCAGGAGTGATCACTGAGCTAGATATCACAGAGGCAGGAGAAAGCCCTGAGCACTACTAGGTGTGGCCAAAAGTGAGAGATTTCTGGTTATATTAAGACAGGTATATGAAAACCCCATCAAAAATAGGGGGGATACTATTGAGCACCGCAACTAAAAAGATGTGCTAGTGCCATGATCAGGACACATGATCATGGGGAGCACTGCGTGAGCAGAGGAGCATTTTTTGGTGAGCACAACCATAACTTAGGTACCTCCATGAAGACCGTGAACCCCCATGGAGTGCATGTGCCAGCAGAACCAGGAGGCAAGCCTCAATGAGCACTGTGGTCAAGGGCATGGACCACAACCTCCAGCATCCCTCGGCAGGCATCCCAGCTAAAAATCAATAGCTGTGCAGACACGGCAGCCAGGCACGTGTGCAACCCTGTCTCCCAACGACAACCACAAAGGGAGGTGGGAGGAGGAGGGGAAAATAAAGATAGATGGCCCAGAGTGAGAGGACACTTGACTTACATCTGACCAACCCGGGTTCAATCCCTGGCGCCACATATGGTCTCCCAAGTCCCACCAAGATAAAATCGCTGAGCAGTGAGCCAGGAGTCATCCCTGAGCACAGCTGGGTAGGCCCCAAAACAAAAATAAAGAAGCACATCTTGAGTTTTGCTCTGTGACAGGGAAGTTCTACAGATCAAGTGGGGAAAGAGGAATTTTCCAGAAATAGCTCTAGACCAAGCGTTATCCATATAGCACAGTTCGGGGCCAGAGAGACAGTACAGTACATAGAGTGCTTGCCTGCACGTCTGGCCCAGTTCTGACATCCGGTATGCCATAGGGTCCCAAATCCCTCACGAGTGATCCCCGAGCACAGAGCCAGGACTAAGTCCTGAGCACCACTGGGTGTAGCCAAAAAACAATAACAGAAATTCTAAATAAATTTAGTACTTAGAAGTAAAAAAGTGAGAGCCAGAGTAATTTGCCTTGGACGTGACCAACTGGGTTCCAAGCAATTTGCCTTGGACACTACCAACTGGGTTCCATCCCTGCCACCCCCTATGGTCCCCAGAGCACTGCCAGGAGTGATCTCTGAGAACCATTAATACTTCCGATATTTCAAAAGAAATCTCACCAAGCCCATGCATTCTACTCTGCCCCCATCCCACCATCCCCCATGAGCTGATCAGCAGGAAGGAGCCAGATCTGAGCCCAGGGACCCAATCCCATGAGACTGTGGAAATGTGAAACTGGCCCAAACAAAACAGGAGGAGCAAACTCCGAGACAAGGCACCTGTCCTGGTCTTACTCTCCCGTCCACCCTGAAAGCCTAGCCATAAGGCCGGTGTTGCTTATTTTGGGCTCACTGTTTAGATTTGTAGATAAAATCAAGTGTCCCTCGGGAGGTCAGCACAGGGAGAATTGTTTGTTCTGGTGCCCACTGGCCCTCAACCCATCTATTCTTCTCTCTTCTTTCCTGAGAAAAACGCCTTCCTGCAACCACGTGGACAAAGTGGTTCCTTTGAGATCATGAGTCCACCATCATCCAACCTGCTAGCATGTTGCCAATAAAGCTCTTTCCCACAGTGGGGAGAACCATAATTCTCTTCCCATTGTGGGTAGACGGTAATGGGACGGGACCATAAAATTGTTTAAAAAGATAACGCATTAGGTAGCAAAAAAACCCAAACATTAAAAGAAAATAACTCCGTTGGGGTTGGAGCAATAGCACAGCAGGTAGGGCATTTGCCTTGCATGCGGCAGACCCAGGTTTGATTCCCAGCAACCCATATGGTCCCCCGAGCACTGCCAGGAGAGATTTCTGAGTGCATGAACCAGAAGTAACTCCTGTGCATCGCTGGGTGTGACCCAAAAAAGCAAAAAAAAAACCATTCCCAATGATTACTCCTAGATTATTATGCTATGCTCACAGAATGTCACATTATATAGGAGTAGAATATACATTGCCAGACGGAAAAAGAACTATGCATGAAAAACAGGAATAAGTCCTGTGTTTCCATTTTGATAACACTTAAAAAGAACCTGCTGATTGTTCTGGCATTTCCACCACCAGACTCCCAGGAGCAAGAACATGCTAAGAGGTAGCTGTGTGTGAGGAAGGACGAGGGGCGACAGAGGGACTGACACTCATACTGCCCAGATGCAGATGCGTTCCTGCATCTGTGTGGTTAAAAATAAAGGACAGAGAAGAGACCAATAACAGCGTGTCGTAAATAGCTTCTATTATTCCAGTCCCGGAGTTCCTCGGCTGGTGTTCCTTAACTGCTGCACCCCCAGCTCACCCCCCTGCACTGAAACAGCACACAGGGTGTAACCCCAGCTCTCCTCACCCCACGCCCCTACCTGGGTCCGTGCATTGAGCAGCTGCTGGAAACTCTCCACCTCTTTGCTGTCATCTGCAGCCCGCTCCTAGGGGAAGATAACAGGTCTGAAAAGCCCCCTGCCTCCACCCTCCCAGGGCTATGCCGGACCCATCCCAGAATTCAGATTTAACACAGAAGCAGACTAATGTGATCTTGGCCCTCCTGGAGCCAAGGAGCAGGGTGCGCCCAGTGGAGCAGAGGGTTCTGGGGGAACAGGGAAGGGGCGCCAGGGCGCAGGCGCTCATTACCATCAGCACCGCCAGCATCATGTCATAGTTATTGATCAGAAACACAAGCTGCTCCTTCCTCGAGGAGAACTCAGCTGCCACTCGAAGGACAAAGTTCTCCACTTCCACCTGCAGGGGCCAAGACGGGGTGTCGGAGAGGACAAAGGTCTGGGCGCCCACCTTGCTCTCTGGCCTGTTGCACTCGCCTCACCTGGAGCTGTCCCAGCAGCTGCAGGGTCCGTTCGTTGGGGATTGTCTGATTGATGCTGACGAGGGCAGACGAGAACTCTGCGTAGCGGCGTGTGATCTGTGAGGGGAGAGGGAAATCACCCATCGGTTCAACCTCCTGACAAGCTTTCGGTGGGGCCAACCCCCAGTGCCCGATCTGCCCTACGTCGACCTCCCTGCCAGGCAGTGACCTTCGTGCATAGGCCCATGACATCCCAGTGGGGCTGCCTGCCACCCTCCAACACACACACACACACACACACACACACACACACACACACAAAACCGCAACTCCCTGCCTTTCCAGAACCCATAACCCTCGCCCTCTCCTCACATAGTGGGGCCGCGTATCCAGGCCCCCGAGACGCTGAGGGTCAGTGCTGCGGACGCTCTGGACATTCATCTCTAGGATCAGCTCAAACCGTGGCCACAGCAGGGCAAGCACCTGCTCCCAGTACCTGTGGATGTGATCCGGACCAGATTAGCAGACAGGAAACGTGTGCTAGGGGACAGGGGACGAGATTCGGGGCGAAGGAAGCTGATCAGGAGTGATAGTAAGTGGTGATGGCGTTTGACTTGCACACGGCCAACCTGGCTTCGATCCCCAGCATCCCACTGGTCCCCCAGCACTGCCAGGAGTGATTCCTGAGTTCAGAGCCAGTTGTAACCCCTGAGCATCGCTGGATGTGACCCAAAAGACCAAAAAAAAAAAAAAGCCAAAAAAAAAAAAAACCCAAAACCAGGAAGCTGATCAGCAGCGGCTATTGGGAAAGCAGATGAAAGCAAGCAACATACGGGAGCCCCAGGGTCAGAGCAGGGTCACGGAAGATGGTGGAAGTACAAGGCACACAGGGCTCAGCGACCTGTCCAGGGCGGGCACGTCCCTCTTGGCAGCGATGTTGCGAAAGCGGAGGACAATGTGGATGCAGAGAAAGACCGCGATGGCGTCGTAGCAGTCGGTGAGGTAGGACTCCAGGTGCTTCTGCAGGGCGGGAATGGTGCGAGAGCAGGTTACTCTCCTTCCACGCAGCTGTGGACCGGCTCTCAGAGGAAGATGTCCACCTCGGCACTGAGTCCTCCCCTGGCCGCCTGAGAGGGCTTCTGTGCTCACAGATCCCCGACCACCTGCCCCTGGGGGCAGAGCTCGGAGCCAGCGACTCTAGGGCGGGCCCCTCAGGTTTCAAGGGCTTTGCCTCACATGGGGCGGCGGCAGGGGATCTCCCCAAGGGTCCCAGGCATTGGGGGCTTTTGTGAAAAGTCACAGTGTGCATACAGAATAAAGATCCTGGTAACATCCCCCGTCCTGAGCAGGGGATGGGCCGAGAAGCCCAAGCCTGGGGCGCTTACCAGGGTCATGCCGAGAGTCCGGCCCATGACAGCGTGGAAGAGGTCATGTGCGGCTGGGCCGGACACCACAAAGAACTCGCAGATGAAAAGATATTCGCGGCAGGAATTGTCTAGAAGGGCGTAGTGCTGGCTGCGGAAGAGGGCCTCAAACGGGTACTGGGATAGGAGGGAGAAAAGAGAGCAATGCACCCCAAACTAGCACGCAGGTGCAACGACACAGAATCAGCAAGCCTGGATATTTTGTGTTTTGGCATTTGGGGCCCTATCAGCTGTGCTCAGTCACTCCTGGAGGGGACCAGGGGACCGCAGGTGGCGCTGGGGATCTACCTGGGTCAGCTGTGTGCAAATCAAGCTCCCAACCCACTGAACTGTCTCCCCAGCTCCCAACCCTGGCTACTGGGAGCTCACAGGCCATGTCGTGCACCCCCATGGGACCCGCAGGGGGTGTGCAGAGAGCAGCCTGCCTCCCCTGCCCTGGCGGGTCTCCCTGACGGCCTCCGCTACCCGGCCAGCATGAGCCCCTGCACACCAAGAGCCCCACCCCGTGCCCCAGGACCACACCGGGCATCTCCCCCACCTACCCGCTGCTCCCCGCGCTGGGCCGTGTGGGGCACCAGGATGGGCGCCTCCAGCTCAGTGGGGGAGATGACGGAGCCCCGAGTGCCCAGGGTGAAGATGGTGTTCCTGCTGCGCAGGGAGGGCTTCGAGAAGAATCGTGAGGGCTCAGAGTCAGGGAAAGCAAGCGGAGCACAAGGAGGACGACGAGCCGCGGCCCAGGCGCTCGGGGGACCCCAGCCGCCAGACCCGGCCTGGAGGTCCCTGTTCCCCAGGGCCCGGAGTCCCGCTGCCCCCACTATGAGTGAGCAAACTTCAGGGAGCCTTGACAGCCCGGGCCCTCACTTTCAGGTGACGCGGCGACCCGAAATGATGGTGCATGTTTCTGGGGCCAGGGCCCAGGGCTTTTATCCCATCTCAACAGCTTTGGCCCCACTAAGACGCAGCGCCTCTGAGGCTGCAGGCAGAAGCCCCTAATTCTTGAGGCCTGACACAGGGGTCCCCAGCTCTAGGATATCCTTCTTGGCGGTATCTTCCACACCCATGAGGTCGTCCTTCTCAGCAACCTCCTCGTACTGGAGAAGAGAAGAGAGAACTGGCAGCTCCCTCTCCCCAGAGCCTTCCAAAGACTCCTCTCCCGCTGACCCCCCCCCCACCACCACCTGGCCAGCCGGGGGCTCGGCCGCCCCACCCTGGCCTCACCTGGACCTTCATGAGCCGACCCAGGTAAGAGCGGTAGTAAGACAGGTAGATCTTGCTCAGGGTCTCCACATACTCGTCTCTGATCTCCTTGGCCGTCGCTCGCTCGTTGCCCAGCAGGAACTGATAGAAGAACCTGGAAGGCCCATGGCTGGGTGAGCCTCCCCGCAGGCACACGACCTGACCTGAGACCAGATAATGGGCACCCCGGGCCCCCTCCCTCCCAAACATGTCTCAGGAGGCGACCTGTACTTCAGCAGGGCTGTCTGGGGGATCTGATAGTTGGTCATTGGCTTTCGGAAGGAATAGATCTTCTGAAGGATGAACTCCCGGATCTTGGTCACAGCCTGGAGGAACCAAACACAGGATGTGAGGTGTGGCCGCTATCTCATTTGTGAGGCAGGAATGTGCAGCAGAAGGCAGACTACCCCTTCAACAATCTTTTGATTTTCTTTTTGTTTGGGGGCTATACTCAGCAGTGCTCAGAAGTTACTTCTGGCTCTGCACTCAGGAAGTACTCTTGGCAGTACTTGGGGGACCACACAGGATGCTGGGGATCAAGCCCAGGTTGGCCTCATGTAAGGCAAGCGCCCTACCCGCTGTACTATCGCTCCAGCCCAATGTTCCGAGAACCCGGAGGCATAAGGATGAGCTTTGCCAGGTAACAGCAAAGACAAGGAGCTCCGCCAGGGAACACCAGGAAAGTTCTGGCAGGCTCGTTCTGGTGTTGAGAGTGTTCCCCTTCTCCTACCTTCACCCGGAGCCGGTCCAGTACACCTCGGACATCCGCACAAGCCGCCGTGCCTCGAGCTTCCTGCTCCCGCACAGCCGCCGCCTTGGCGTCCAGCTCCTGCAGCTGCTCCAGGAACCGGGGCTCGGTCACTGGCGCCTCCAGGATTGCCCTAGGGAGTAGGGAACAGGTTGAGGGGTGAGTTAGGAGGGCACCAGAAGCCTCTCTCTCCTCACACTTCTCCTACCAGATTATCTAGTCAAGCCGCAGATACAAAGTTTCTGTTCCCAGATATATCCCCCGTCTCACTCCCCCTACCACCATAAGCCTGGGACCCCCTAACGACATGCCCGACCTGGATGCTGCCTAACTTAGGGTGCCTAAAGCATGCACTGAGGCTAGAAAGAGCTGCCGGTTACCCATCAGTTTCTGGAAGGCACCTGCTGGCCACCTAAGCCCACTGACCTGCAGTCAAGACACTGGGCCCCTTCCTGCCCATAACTCACGTGACCAGAGCAGAGGGCACCACCAGGCCGTCAACCAGCTCCCCCAGCTTGCCACGAACTGCCTGGCGGTTTCGAAGGCGAATGTTCATGGCGCCGGACTGTTCCTGCAGTGTCCGGATCTCAGAGCTTATGGAGCTGAGGTCACTCTGAAAAGCTCCCAGCATCTGCTCCATACGCTGCGGAGGACAGAAGGAACTGCTGGAGGGCTGCCACCGGGGTGGCAGGGGACAGGGGACACCTCAGAGCCCTGGTAACATCTCCAGTGTCTATGAGGATCCCGCTGAGGGCAGGGAGTGATGAGGGATGAGGCACCCCAGAGGCCACTGGCAATAATTAGTGTGGCAGGGACAGCACAAGTCAGTGACGTCATCCTGAGAACGACTCTGTCCCCTCTCACCATGCCCAGACACTGACGCGACCTTAGAAAGGCACCAGCCAGTAGAGTGCTTGCCTTGCATATGGCCAACCAGGGTTCAATCCCACAGGGTCCCCTGAAATTGTGAGGAGTGATCCCTGAGTGCAGAGCCAGGAGGAGCCTTGAGCACTGCTGGTTGTGGCTCAAAAGTCAAAACCAAAATAAAATACAATTTTTTTTAATGGCATCAGAGAATTGTGTCAAAACGATAGTAAGTACAGAGATTAAAGTGCTTCCAATTGACCCAAGCGTCAATCCTGGCACCATATGTGGTGCGTCTGAGCATATATGGCACTTTTAAGATCACTGGGGTCACTCCTGAGCACAGAGCCAGGAAAAGCCCGAACATCACAGGAAGTACCCCACCCCCCACCTCAAAATAAAGAAAAGATACCCAAGAAGCTGGACCGATAATTACAAAGGTTAAAGCACTTGCCTTGCAGTGGCAACCCCCAGTTCAATCCCCCGCACCATAACCAAGCATCACTGGATCCAGCTCAGAGAACTGACAGGGGGAGCTGGATAACGGCTGCCCCCAGGGCCCGAGCAGCACCCCATCCCTAGGTCCTTCCACTGCACCACTGGCCTAGTTGATGGAGAATTGCCAAGCATTGCTTGGAAGAGCCAAACAAATAAAACTTGAACAAACAACAGCACAGAGCAGTCCAGTTCAGGGGCACTAGAGGTCCAAGGCTGCTGACTAACCTCCAGGACAGCGTCACAGGCCGTGATCTGGTTGTGCAGAGATGCTATGTTTTCGCTCTCCTGAATATCTGACCCACAAAAGTCAAGGTGTTCACCACGAAGTCAAAATCTTTGACCTGCAATTTCTTCCTGAGGTGTCTGAAACCTCCAAGGGAAAGTGTCAGCCTCACCAAGCTGTTTGCACCCCAAATCCCGACTTCAGCGACACCACCCTTTCCCTGTGGGAGGATACAATCCCGGATGGATTTCTGTTCAATCTGCTGTAGATCCAGCTCCACTTGCTTCGAATAGTGACGGAGATCCACACCCTGGGACAATATGAGCACAGCAGGTCAGGAGAAAGCACCAAGGAAGGGCTGGAGCCATGGTACAGTGGGTAAGGCACTTGCCTTGCATGCAGGCCATCCAGGTTTTATCCCTGGAATCTGAAAAGTTCCCATGACCCTGCCAGCACTGATCCCTGAGCACAGAGCCAGTAGTAAGCCCTGAGCACAGCCCAATGTGGGCAAAAAACAAAACCCAAAAAGTAAAAAGTCTCAGAGAAAGGATATTGGATCAGAAGGTAAGACATCAAGTGATGGTCCAGAGCAAAAACTGCTTAAATGGGGGATGGAGCAATAGTACAGTGGGTAGGGCGTTTGCCTTGCACAAGGCCGACCCGAGTTCAATCCCTGGCATCCTATATGGTCCCTCAAGCACTGCCAGGAGTAATTCCTGAGTGCAGAGCCAGTGAGCATAGCTGGGTGTGACCCCCAAAAGCAAAAACAAAAACAAACAAAAAACTGCTCATACATCTTTGAGGGGAGGGCAAGGAGTCTCTGAGGGGAGGGCACGGAGAGGGATGAGTCAGTGTAGCAGAAAAGACTCACCGTTTTCAGAGCTTCCTTTACTAATTCATCCTCCAGATTCGCCTGAATATGAACTGGAAATAGAAGTTCATCATAATGGTTCCAGTTTCAGAACTCCCTCTCCCCACATGGACCACCAATCCTACTTTATTATGTTCAGTCCCCACATCATCAGATTCTAAGCACCTTAAAGCGGCCCAGGGCTGTCACATACCATCCACTTCATCCAGGATGAATTCATCAGAGGTGATGTCCAACTCCCCAAGTTGCAACGGCTCCTGAAGACCAGGACCACCCCCCTGGAGAGGCGCAGAATAATGAGATGCGGGGGGGGGGGGGGGGGACAGAGGAAAAGAATAAGATATAATGGGATAATCCTAACTCTTTGTGTGTTTGTTGGGGGGGGGGGGAACTTTTACTGGGACTGAGCTGAAAACTTTCCAGTTCCAAACTGGCCCCATCTACCATTTACAGCTGATGGGTGTAACAACACACCAGGCATGACCCCCAAAAAACAACAACAAAAAGACACAAGAACCATAAAAACGGTGGTGGTGGGAGGGGGGGTTCTGCATGAAAGTATTTAGAAATTGCAGAGGAGACGGAAGAACAGAATTTAGGATGCCCAGACACCTTCTTTTGCAATCCATCCGAGGAGTCCCAACTTTCCAAAAAATAGCAGCTAATACAGTTTGTGTGCTGTCCTACAGCCTTTACCATGCATGCCAGATGCTACCTCATATACTGTTTTGTATAATATTTTATATACCTTATATACCTTATCTGATGGGGTTCAGACAGTAGATATGTTTCATAGAGAGAAATATATAAATATATGCCTCTAGGTGAGCCCGGCAAGCTACCGAGGGTATCCCGTCCCCACAGGCAGAGCCTGGCAAACTCCCCATGGGGTATTCGATATGCCAAAAACAGTAACAATAACAGGTCTCACTCCCCTGACCCTGAAAGAACCTCCAATTGTTGGGAAAAGACGAGTAAGAAGCTGCTAAAATCTCAGGGCTGGGAGGAATAGAGACATTATTGGAGCCTGCTCGAGTAATCAGACAATCAATGGGATGACAGTGATACAGTGATACCTTATATACGGTATATAACATATACCGTCACTCATCTAAGGCTAATGCACCGCCTTTATAGGAAATCTTTATTTTTTAACGTGGAACATTTTGCCAACTTGTGTGCCATCCTTGCGCAGAAACCGGGCTAACCTTCCCGCTAACCTTCCAATTTTAGAATCCGTGCTGCCGAAAAAGCACAGGTTTTAACTCAACTTACGCGGAGGTTGAGTAATTTGACTGCCGGATAACCCAGCCACGTAAGTGGCAAAGGTGATTAAGAAGCCGGCCCTAGAGACCGATGTCCTACAGCCTTTACCATACGCCCGGGGCTCTAGTCGGCCCCGCAGATACTGAGGTTAACGGGATTTTTGTTTAAAAAAAAAAAAAAAAAAGGTCCGCGGAACCCGAGCGTTGGTCCCACTGGTCCCTGCGCAAGCTCCTGTGCGATCCGAGAAGGGGACGGCGAGCCAGACAGGTCGCCTCGGCGCCCCCGCCGCTGCCTCCGCCTTCCTGACGCGAGGATGGCCAGGGGGAGAGCGAGCCCCGCGTTCTCACCAGCGGGCCCTCTTCCTCCTCCATGTCCGCCGCCCCGGCCCGCAACACCATCTCCCGGGCGGCGGCCGCCATGGTCGCGGCGGCTGCCATCCCGCGCGGCCTCACTTCCGGCAACAGTCCGTCCCGACGGGTTCGCTCGCCGGTGTGAAACGAAAAGGCCTATTGTCTGACACCGCGCTAAACCGTTTCCAGACAGTTAGCGGAGTTCAACTGAGCGACATTCGCATCGCCCGTCCAGCCCGAACCACCACGACCAAGTACAAACGGGAGCCGGCCCGACGGGCACCACACCCGCCGACCGGAACCTTCGCTGCTCTCCCGGTCCGAGAACTTTACGGACTATACAAAGAGACACCCTTCCGCCGGAAGTTGTGGCGCCTCCTCGAGCCCTTCCGTAGGTGGCTTTTCCCTGAGTTTCCGGAAGCGGTCTTACCCTCCGTGGTCCCGCCTCTTCCGCCCGCTCCCTATATAAAACGATTACGTAACTTCCGCTCCCTCTTCCACAGGAGGCCTACACGCCGTCGCTGTGCCGCCGCCATGGTAAGACGATTTCTTGCGGGGATCCGGCGACATCGAGAGCGGGGCAGGGAAGCACTGCTATCCGATGGCCTAAAACGCTCCATACTGCGGGCCTGCAACAGTTTGTGCGGAACACGGACCCCTCCTCCGCGAAGGGACGCCTCTAGACACCCAGGTCTGGGAAGTGGGGCCAGAGGAGAGTCAGTCCCTGGCGCTGGCGCGTGTGGCCGGGGGCTCCGTGTCCATCTCGGAATGGCCGGGAGCCCTGGCCTCTCCCCGGGGTCGCACTTTGCGGACCTGCCGCGGGCGGGGTTGTGGAAGCCCCAAGGGGGCCCTCGCCCCCCGGGGACAAGTTGATCGCGCCGTGCGTGCTGGCTCACGGTGCCTGATCTCTTCCCCCGCTCTCTCACCAGTCTCTAGTGATCCCCGAGAAGTTCCAGCACATTTTGCGAGTACTCAACACCAACATCGATGGGCGGCGGAAAATAGCCTTTGCCATCACTGCTATTAAGGTAAAAAAAAAAATAGGAGTAGAGACTCGTAGGTGACACTTGGGGTTCAGACCTAAGCCAAAAAAGTATGGTGCCCGGGGCGACTTGACCCCTTACATGTTGACCCCGCAGAGGTAAGTGGCCAGATGCACGCGCAGTCTCGGGGTTCGTGTGTCACCTGCAGGCCCAGGAGGGGAGTCGTTGGCCGGTTGAGTGACTTTGAAGTTTTCCTGCCCTACCGGTCCGTGGAGTTTATATTCTAGATTTGGCGTCTGCCCCCCCCCTCCAAGCACCGGGTAATCCCGTCCCCAGGTACTCTGCTGTGTGTGTTCATCTGGCGGGCGAATAAAACCGCCCAACCGTTCCTTCCAAGTGCGAAGGAACCTCCGGTGGGGACTAGTTTTCTGAATGTTTGGCTCCAGTACTGGTGGAGGCGGCGGCAGCCATTAACTTCCTACTGCCAGAGCAGGAACCAGCATTTGGCCACTGCTTGGAGCACGTTGGAAACGTGTCTGCCTTCACCGGGTCTGCACTGCAGCCCGCTGCGGGATGGTGCAGATGCAGGCTGTATTGATTTCCTATCAGTTTGCTAATTGTGAGAACAGCTGCGTGTACCGCTGTGCCAAGGGTAGGCATAAACCCAGCTTGTTAACCCCCAACCTTTGGTAGATGATAATGCTTTGGTCTTAATTCACTGGTTGCCTAGCATTTAAAGGAGATGATCGCTTTTTTTAAACTAACAGATCCTCAACTTAAAAGGATCCATAAAGTTTTCTTGATTCCCTCCTCCCCATGCTGTGGGGAGCACAACTTCATTAGTTCCTAAATGATTCCGTGTAGCAAATGAGATAGAAGTCTTAGAAAATAGCAGATGCTGCAGATTCAGCTTCTAATGGAACTTAAAAGACAGTATTTGCTCGAGCGGGCCCAGTAACGTCTCCATTGGAGACTTTGTTGTTACTGTGTCTGGCACATCGAAAAGACAGTATAGGGCAAGGAATTAATAGGGTGCTTTAACATGAGAAGGCCACACCCAGCAGAGCTCAGGGCTTCCTGGGTCTGCACTCGGGAGTCACTCCTTTCGTGCTCCAGGGGATGATGCGGGCTGCTGGAGATAAAACCTGGGCTGGCCACATGCAAGGCAAACCTGTACTATCAGCTTAGAGGTAAATACATGATGAGCCGCTGCTTTTGTGGTCATGCCCAGGAGGAATCTGGCTGCTCCCACCTCTGCTGGGGATCAACCTGGGCCTCAACAAGCAGATAACGGGGATCAACAAGCAGATAATGAGCCCATTGTGTTACCTCTCTGGCTTCTAATTTGCTTTTAAGTTTGTTGGGTGTGTTTTTGTGGTGCTGGGAACCAAACCCAAGTCCTCGCTCTAAGGCAAGAGCTTGCCACTGATCTATAGCACCTAAGCCAGTTTCTAACCAAAGCCGTTTGTTGTAGTTATAATTAAAATGAATCCCTTAGGAGGTGCTCTGCTTAAGGCTGGCAAAGGTCTTCCTAGAGATCAGTGCGTGTTTTTGTAATTGGGAGTGGCAGTGCAGGCACCACTGTCTGGCCTCCGGTGAAAAACTGGGTAGGCGCTTGCCCTGGTACCCCATGTCCCCTGGCTCTGGTCCCCTCCTGACTTGCGATCCCTGCTCACTACTAGAGGTGGCCTTTAGTCGAGCAGCCGCAGTGGAGAGTATTTAGAAAGTGGTGAGAAAATTTCCTGGGTTTAAGGAAGAGAACAGCCTGGGAGAGGGTTCCTTAAAAGAAGCAAGTGAGGGGCCAGAGTGATGAGAGAGTAAGGCATTATTCTGGCAACTGGCTGACCCAGGTTCAATTCCTGGCATCCCGTATAGTCCTCTAAGCACCGCCAGGAATGAGTGCAAAGCCAAGAGTGGTCTCTGCACTGGGTGTGCAGAGCAAGTAGTGCCCCCCAAAAGCAAGTAGTGCCACAGCAAACTGCGGAAGGCTGAAGAAAGCTGGGTAGAATACAAAGATCCTGTGCGGTTCTTTGCCAGTGGTCCTTACTAAAGGGCCCAGACTTAGTTGACCTACTGTCTCCTTTTAAGATAGCAAAGCACACCCCCTCCCCCCAATTGCAACTGAGGTACCATGGCCTGGTTGCAGCAGTAGTGGTCACCTTAAGAATGACTGGCCAGGAGCACCCAAACCCAAGAGCTGCTGCTTCTCGTAGCCGCAGCTTAAAGAGCGGTGCTGACAGCAATTGCATCTTGTCGCCTTTGGGGGGCTGGGCGGTGCCCCTCAGAGTGAATTTGGAGGTTCTACATGGCTGGTATGTGGGGGGGGGCAGTGTGGGGGTTGGAGGGGATCATCAGCCTGAAAATGAAAGAATAAATTTAATTTTAAAAAAAGAATGACTGGCCAGAACATTTTAGATCTGGGCTCAGACGGGTAGTACAGTGGGTAGGGCTCTTGCCTTGCATACAGGAGACCCAAGTTTGCTCTCTGGCACCCTGTAAGCATCCCTGAGCACTGTTAATGTATTGCCCTCAAAAATAAAAGTTCTGGGGCTGGAGCGATAGCACAGCGAGTAGGGCATTTGCCTTGCACGCAGCCGGCCCAGGTTCGACTCCCAGCATCCCATATGGTCCCCTGAGCACCGCCAGGGGTAATTCCTGAGTGCAGAGCCAGGAGTAACCCCTGAGCATCACCGGGTGTGACCCAAAAATTTAAAAAAAATTTTTTTTAAAATAAAAGTTCTAGGTCATAGCTAGTACCTACCAGTGTTGTCTGTGTGCTGTGGGGAGTTGGGGGGAACATCCAGCATTGAATCTGGGGGCTCAACACTGAGGGACTTGTGCTCTGCCATTGATCCACATTCCTTTATTTTAAGAGAAACACAAATTCATCGGGTTTTTGCTTTTTTGTTTGTTTGGGGGCCTCTTTCGTGCATCACAGAACTAGGCTACCAAGTAACAGCTGGGTGCGGACCCTATGTCAGATACCAAAGTCAAATTGGAGAATGTCCCCAAACCACAAATTAAATGTGAAAAACTAAAAACCCAAATGTTTTGTGAATCAGTCTCTTGGTAATTTGGATTGCTGTGTCTGTAAGTTGCTCATAAGGATCTGGTAAATACAGATTTCTGAGAGAAACGCGTTCAACTAGGCACCATCCTCACTCCCCACGTTTATTTAGTTCCTCTCTAGGAATGCTGGATTGGTGGTGATCCACTGCAGGTGTAAACTCTGGTTCCTGTTATGTTCTAATTTGGACACTAGCCCCCTAGAACCTGGTCATCGCTGGGCACTGACATAATTCAGTTTGAAAAGCTAAATTTGGGGGCTGGAGCAATAGCACAGCGGGTAAGGCATTTGCCTTGCACGCAGCCAACATGACCGACCCTGGTTCGATTCCCAGCACCCCATATGGTCCCCCGAGCACCGCCAGGAGTAACCCCTGAGCATTGCCGGGTGTGACCCAAAAAGCAAAAAAAAAAAAAGAAAAACTTGAGGAATATGATAATTACCCACTGATATATACAGCTCATATATCTCCCAGATGAGTATCAATGGGGTCTGACTAGCTGGCAAAGCTATCGGCTATTCCTGGCACTGCAACAGAATCCTGAGGCTCTGGTGTGCTGCTGACAGCTATGTGTGCAGGGCTGGGCAGGGAGAGGGATCCTGATGGGGGCTGGACAGGTGGTACTGGAGTTAAGGCACGTTACAGCTCTGTTTAAGGCATTGCATGATCAACCCCCCCCCCCCCCCATAGAGCTGGGTGCGGCTTATACACCCAGCTCCAGTTATGGTATCTCAGGTTCTCTGTTGGTTCAGCCCCTCCCCTGAACAGTTTTGGGGTACTTAGCAATCAGACGTGTTTCCCAGTCTGTTGTACTGTCTGACCCCAGGAAAATATTCCTAATGCATTCTGTTTCCTAGTTCAGCTTTGTGGAGTTGCCATTTCCCTGCTGTGATTTGAGGGTAGTGGGAGGAAGGGTTTTGTTTTTTTCTCTCAGTTATTTCGGCCAGGGGTTGAACTGGGTTTGCTGCGTGCTAGTTAAGCACCTGAGCAACTAACTATACTACCTTTCACGGGGCCTTTGTGTCTGTATTGAACGGTGGCTCTGTAAGGGGAATCACAACTCCGACTCACCGGTTCCAAAACCTTTCTTCAGGGTGTGGGCCGAAGATATGCTCATGTGGTGTTGAGGAAAGCAGACATTGACCTCACCAAGAGGGCCGGAGAGCTCACCGAGGATGAGGTGAGGACAGAGGGTGGATGAGTGGGGGGTAGTAGGTCACACAGTGGGGGCATCTGCAGCTGACCCTTGTCTTACCCTGCCAGGTGGAACGTGTGATCACCATTATGCAGAATCCTCGCCAATACAAGATTCCTGACTGGTTCTTGAACAGACAGAAGGATGTCAAGGATGGGAAATACAGTCAGGTGTGTGATGAGATTTAAAGGTGGTGTGTTCCTGGGCCAGAGCAGTAGTACAGCGGGTAAGGTGCTTGCTCACACACCGCTGTTTGGGTCCCATATGGTCGTTTGAGCGCTGCCAAGAGTTGTCAGCATCACCAGATGTGGCCCCCAAAAACTTAAAATACAGGCACAGTGCTTTGCCCGGGGCCCCAGTTGTTAGAGCAAACCACCTCTGTTCCAGGTTCTGGCCAACGGTCTGGACAACAAGCTCCGGGAAGACTTGGAGAGACTGAAGAAGATTCGGGCTCACCGGGGGCTGCGCCACTTCTGGGGGTGCGTAAGCCTGGGCCTCTTCACCTGCCTCCTGCTCTCCCCCCCAACCTTTTTAGTATATCCGCATAACCTGTCATTCTTCTTGCATCTACAGACTTCGTGTCAGAGGCCAGCACACCAAGACCACCGGACGCCGTGGCCGCACCGTGGGTGTGTCCAAGAAGAAATAAATCTTTAGGCCTGTCTGTAATAAAGTTTATACGCTTATGATTTCTGTGTGGTTCTCTCTTTGAGGGGTATAGGGGACGTGATAACCTAATCCCTTGCATATATTTCTTCAGTTGTTACTACTCATTTATCCAGGGTCTTAAAGCACAGTTGTCACTTGGCCTGCCCAGTAAGACCACTAAAAGAAATTCCTGGCTGGAGACTTTTTTTTTTTTTTCTTTGTGGGTCACACCGGGTTACTCCAGACTGCACTCAGGAATTACTCCTCAAGGTGTTGGGGGGAGCAGGCCACATGGGACACTATGAATCGAACCCGTGGAGCCGTTTCTTGTCCCTTCCTCCAGTTCCTGTCGCTAGAATACAACTGCATCACTGAAGGATATCCTAAATACTGTTAGAAAAATAGATGTGCTTCTGCTTTGGTCCATAAAGTTATGGGCCTGAAGGGAGGTGCTGGGCCGCCTGCAGGTGGCGTAGCGCTGTCGCCGGCCCCTGGTGCAGGGACCTGCCGCAAGGGGCGTGGCGCTGTCGCTGATCCCTGATGCAGGGGACCGCCGCGCGCGCTGCCCGCGCCCGCCGCAGGTGCCTCCCGCATTCCATCCCTAGGTGGGGCTGCAGCTCCGGCTTTGCGGGACGCGTCGCAGCGCTCGTGACCCGGAAGAGCTCGGCCGGGGATCGCGCGCGTCCCTCGGGTCCGGCCTCGCCCTTCGGTCCGGGGCTCGGCGCGTGCCCGGGCCGCGGGGCCCCCACGCGCGGCGCTCCCGGGCCGAGGGCGGGCCGGGGCCGCGGTCCCTCCTCCGCGGAGGGCGGGCGGGCGGGCGGGCGGCGCCGCGTTCCGGGCGATGGGGCCGAGCCCCGGCGCGGCGGGGCGGCCGCGCTGCACCTGCGCTGCCCTCGCCCGGCCCGGCCGCCCGGCGCGCTGACCGGCCGCGCCATGCCCCTGTGGCCCTCCCGGCGCCTCGTCCTCGCCGCGCTGCTGCTCGTCCTGCTCTGGACCCTCCTGGGCCCCTACGGCATCGGCGAGGAGCTGCTGAGCCTCACGCTGCCCTCGCTGCTGCCCGGCCCCGCCTCGCCGGGACCCCCGCTGGCCCTGCCGAGCTTCCTCATCGCCAACGAAGGGGCCTGCGGGGGTCCCGGCGCCCCGCCCTTCCTGCTCATCCTCGTGTGCTCCGCGGTGGACCACCTGAACCAAAGGAACGCCATCCGGGCCTCGTGGGGCGGGCTGCGCCAGGCCCGGGGGCTCCGGGTGCGGACCCTCTTCCTGCTGGGCCAGCCGGGCCCGGGACACCCCGCCGGGGCTGCCCAGGAGGCGCTGGAGCAGGAGTCGGCGGCCAAGGGGGACATCCTGCAGGCCGCCTTCCTGGACACCTACCGCAACCTCACGCTCAAGACCCTCAGTGGGCTCAACTGGGCTGACAAACACTGCCCCGCGGCCCGCTACATCCTCAAGACCGACGACGACGTGTTCGTGAACGTCCCCGAGCTGGTATCGGAGCTGGTCCGGCGAGGCGGCCGGTGGGCGCGCTGGGAGACGGGCCCCGAGCCCCGGACAGAGGCTGCGGCTGCAGAGGACCGGGGGCGTGGCGCACAGCCCATGGTGGGGGCCCCGCGGGTGCCGCTCCTGTACCTGGGCCGTGTGCACTGGCGCGTGTACCCCTCTAGGGCATCGGGGAGCAAGCACCGGGTCGCTGAGGAACAGTGGCCGACTGCCCGCGGCGCCTTTCCAGCCTACGCCTCGGGCACCGGGTACGTCCTGTCCGCCTCTGCCGCGCAGCTGGTCCTGAACATGGCCAGCCAGGTGCCAGCCCTGCCACTGGAGGATGTCTTTGTCGGCGTGAGTTCCAGCCGCGGCGGCCTCACTCCCACCCACTGTGTCAGGCTGGCGGGAGCCACCCACTACCCCCTGGACCAGTGCTGCTATGGGAAGATCCTGCTGACCTCTCACAAGTTAGACCCCTGGACCATGGAAAAGGCCTGGAAGCTGGTGAGTGGCTATAAGGAAGAAAGGACTGCCCCCTTCTGCTCCTGGTACCAGCGGACCCTGGGCATTGCCCGGTGCCGGCTCATGGCCTGGCTTCACAGCTGAGAGCCTGGGCCGTGGGACCCCCTTACACTACCATAATCTCCCCGATGGGCTGGGTTAGTCACCACCTCCCAGCAGATACTGCAGTGTCTGAGCCAGGAATACAAGAGAAACCCGGCGCCTGGCCTGGGTTATCCGGAAGAAACCAATCTTGTAAAAAGCCAGGATTGTTCCTTCCTGCCATGACAGGAGGGGCATAGCCCCTCAATAAAGTGTCTTTCTACCTCGAGTGCTTTGTGATCAGAAAGTCCAGAACGCCACATGGGGAGCACAGAGGCATTCTGTGGGGCACTCCGGGGTGAGGCACTCCCGGCCACGTGGGCGAGGCCGCCTCTGAAACGGTAGGTCTGGGAGAACAGGCTGTGGGGCAATCTGTCTGCAGATACGCGGGCAGGGTGGAGAAGCCCTCAGTGTTAGGCACAGGCTGGGCCTGGGGAGGAAACCAGGTCTTCAGGATGACTCAGACATCTTATCCACCAAAACAATCCACCTTCCTCTTTAATGCCCCTTCCACCCCCACTTCCAGGGCGGGCAGGGCAGTGCTCCACCCAGGGAAGTCGCTCCTTCCAAGGTACAGGAACATTTCTGAGTAACAGTCACTCTCATGCCCGCCCAGAGCTGGGCTCAGCGTACAAATCTATCGAGCACGGATGGACGGGACCCAGTGGGCCTGGCCTCCTTATCTTGCTTCTGGGACTGCTGTTCCAGGCTCTGTCGGACCTTGTCCTGGGTGAAGAAATAGCAGTGATGATATGGGGCAGGGCTGGAGCGATAGCACAGCGGTAGGGCGTTTGCCTTGCACGCAGCCAACATGACCGACCCGAATTCGATTCCTCCACCCCTCTCAGAGAGCCCGGCAAGCTACCGAGAGTATCTCGCCCGCACGGCAGAGCCTGGCAAGCTCCCCGTGACGTATTCGATATGCCAAACACAGTAACAACAAGTCTCATGATGGAGATGTTACTGGGCCCACTCGAGCAAATCGATGAACAACGGGAGGACCGTGATGGACCGTGACCGTGATATGGGGCAGCTGCACCAGCAGAAACAGGGCTCTGTGCTCCCTTACTGCCAACTTACCCGGTGTTCCTCATCCATGACCTTCTTCTTCCGTTTCACTAGGCTGGCCGTGGAGCTGCGGCCCTTCCGCTTTACCTTTGGCTGGAAGGGAGTCTTGGCTTCTGGGTCATAGCCCTGAGGGAGGAGGGGAAGGACGTCTGGAGCAGCCTGGAGTGGGGCAAGTGGACACAGCCACCCAAAGTGCCATCCCGGGAGAAGGGGACTTGGGGGGGACTGGGGCCTCAAGGCCACCTCCATACCAGCCTCTCTATCCGCTCCTTCTTTCTCTGCTCCACAGAGACGACATCCACCTCTGCCAGGGCTCGAGGATCCAGACAAATAAGCTCTGCAGGGACCTGGAGAGGGAGAGGGATGGATGAGAGGTGTGGCAGGAAAGGATAGCCAAGGATAGCCACGGGAGATGGCTCAGAGGGCTGGAGCACCCTGGGCTCGATCCCCTGAACACTGCCTGGTGTGGCCCAAAGCCCAGAAGCAAGCAAGCAGGCCCGGAAGGAACCCATTCCTGATGATATGGGGCAGCTGCACCTCCCAGCCTGCCCCCTCCCCCCCTTAGCGCCCCCCCCCCCCACACACACACACAGTCTCACCTTCTCCAACAGGGCCTTCACCTCCCACTCCTGGCGCTGCTTCCGGCTCCGGTACGGGTTACTCTCCAGGCCATCAAAGTTGGGCTCCGCAGCCCCTAGAAAATGGAAGGCATGTGGGGAGCCCATTAAGATACAAGGCCAGAGACCAGAGAGATAGTGGCAGAGTTAAGGTCCTTACTTTGCACCGCAGCCTTGATTCAACACCCCGATACCACGCATAAATGGGCCCCTCAGCTCTGCCAGGGGTCACTCCTGAAGCAGTCAGGAACAGCCCCCAAACACCACCAAGTGTGGCCTAAACTCCTTTCCCCGCCGAAAGAACTCCAGTCCATCCGCTCCCACCCGGCCACAGCCTTGGGCTCCTGGATCTCCATCCACTCTCGTTTCTGACGGGGAGTCCGGTGCCGCGGCCACTCACCGGGCACCAGCATGCTGGTGATGCCACCGCTGTGGCCCACCCCCAGCACATCTTCGAAGGGGCAGAACTGCAGGCCGTGCACGTGGCCGGAAAGGTGATGCGTGAGGTAGACCTGCTCCAGGGAGGGCAGGGTGGCCTTGCCCTGCCCGGCCCAGACGTTGACCACGTCACCCATCCCTGCGGCCAGCAGGCCCCGCTGGGAGAAGGCCAGGTGCCCGACTCCCTGTGGCAGCGTCCGCGCACTCAGAGGCTGGAAGGTCCCTCGCAAGTCAAAGATCTTCAGCTGGTGGTCCAGGCCAGAGGTGGCCATGTGCCTGGGGGAAAGGGAGATGGAAATCAGCAGAATGGCCTGACCACACTGAGGCCATCTTTGGGGGCAGAAAAGAACAATGGGGGCCAGAGGGACCCCAGTGGGCTGGAGCCCATGCGCTGCAAGCAGGGGGCCCGGTCGGAGCTCTGGTATCACATGGTCCCTCGGGAACAACCCTGGAGACCCTCTGGGTGTGCCCCAAAACCAAAAAAAAAAAAAATTCAAAAAAGGAAAAGAAAATGATGAATAATGGCAAACCACAGCCATCACACCAAACGTTTCTGAAGTATCCTCAGTTAAATGTAAAACTCCAGGGGCTGGAGTAATAGTACAGCAGGTAGGGCGTTTGCCTTGCACGTAGCCGACCCGGGTTCGATTCCCAGTATCCCGTATGGTCCCCTGAGCACCTCCAGGAGTGATTCCTGTGTGCAGAGCCAGGAGTAACCCCTGTGCAATGCCAGGTGTGACCCAAAAAGCAAAAAAATAATTGTACAACTCTATTTCAATTATTAGGGTACAACATACATAAAACTTACTATGGGGTATTGTCAAGGATTAATAAAACGACAGTGCAAATACATACACAGCACATTCACCATTAAGCTACATCCCCTTCATTTTGGGGGGTTTTGGGGAGCCTCACCCAGAGGTGCTCAGGGTTACTCCTGGTTCAGCACTCAGGAATAACTTGTGACGGAGCCCGGGGGATCATATGGGATGCTGGGGATTGAACCAGGGTTGGCTGTGTGCAAGGTAAGCGCCTTACCTGCTGTGCCATCTCTCGAATCCCATCCCCTCCACTTTAAGGATTTTTTGATTGCAGGACTACACAGCAGTAAGCATACAATGCTGTAAGCATACAATCGGCCCACATTGATAACAACATCACAGCTTAAGATCTTGGAAAATTGGGGCCGGAGCGATAGTACAGCAGGTAGGGCGTATGCCTTGGTGCAGCTGACCCAGGTTTGATCCCCGGCATCCCATATGGTCCCCCAAGCACCACCAGGAGTAATTCCTGAGTGCAGAGCCAGGAGGAACCTGTGGGCATCGGTGGGTGTGACCCAGAAAGAAAAAAAAAAAAGATCTTGGAAAATGACCAACAGAAGGAGCCCAACCCAGGCAGAAGGAAGTAACAATATTGTTGTAGAATGCTCACTGCTGTTGGGTGTGTGTGTGTGGTGTGTGTGGTGTGTATGCAAATATATGTTTTACATAGCTAGACGTATTTTTAGCTTGGGGCTTGTACCCTGAAGTGCTCAGGGCATACTCTGGTGGGGCTCAGGAACCAAGATAAGTGCCAGGGTCTAACCTGGTCAGCAGCATGCAAGACAAGCTCCCTATTGGCTGTACTATCCCTTCAGCCATATGTAGGTGTGTCTAATACCCCACCCCAGCCCCTTGGTTTTGGGGCAATACGTGGTGCTGCTCAGGAGTTACTCCTGACTCTACACTAAGGAATAACTCTTGGCAGGGCTCAGAGGACCATACGGGGTGCCAGGGATTGAACCCATGTTGGTTGTGTACAAGTGTCCTACCCATAGTACTCTGTCCAACCCCACTATTTTTTTTAAACAACAACAAAAAAAATTTCTGTATTAGTGTATATCAGTTCTCTACCACTTTCTTCAGGAGCCACTCCTGGAGATGCCTGGAGAACCATGTGGTCCTGGGGATAGTAATCAGGGCTCCCATACATGCCAAGCATGTGCTCCAACCCTTCAAATCATGTCTCCCCAGCTCTTCTTTTATAACCTTAAGTTAGATCATTCCAGTAGGCGGGGGTCACACCCACCAACTGGCCCCCGGGCGCCGTGTAATCCCATCAACAGCCAAGACTCAGAGACTATAAAACCCAGCTCCCGGAAGCGCGCGGCATCTTATCATCTCATTCCTACTTTGGACAAACTGGCAGCCTACCGAATGTAACCTGCCCACACGGCAGAGTCTGGCAAACTCCCCGTGGCGTACCCAATATGCCAAATACCAGTAACAATGAAGGGTCTCATTCTCCTAACTCTGAAAGAGCCTTGAATATGGCACTTCTTAAAAAAATCTCGGGGCTAGGACAAAGGAGACATTACTGGGGCCTGCTCGAGGCAATCGACGAATAACAGGATGGTTGTGACTGTGATTGTGATAAGATCATGGGCGGGGGGCTTTCTATTTACTGTTGTTTACTTAGAACTTCCTCCTGGCTCTGTGCTCAGGGAGCACGCCTGGCATTGCTCAGGGATTACTCCTAGTAGAATTCTGGGAACCCCCTGTGGACCCATATGCGGTGCCAGGGATTGAAACCAGGTTTGCCACATGCAGGGCAAATTTAGTCCCTTTTTTATGTTTTGGGCTTTTGGGGCCACACCCAGCGGTGCTCAGGGCTTTCTCCTAGCTCTGTGCTCAGGGATCACTCCTAGTAGAGTTAGGGGACCCTCGTGGTGCTGGGGATGGAACTTAGTTCAGCTGCCTGCAAGGTAAGTGCCTTCCCCACTACACTCTCAGGTCCAAGTTAGTCCTTCTAATTAATCCCTTTCATCAACTCAAGTTGTTCATGCTCTATTATTTTGTTTTGTTTTACGATCATATCCAGTGATGCTCAGGGGTTACTCCTGGCTCTGTACTCAGGAATGACTTCTGGCGGTGCTCGGGGGACTGTATGGGATGCTGAGAATTAAACCTGGGTTGACGGCGTGCAAGACAAGGCCTTACCTGCTGTACTTTTGCTCCGGCCCAGACCTCTGTGACTTTGACTTCTCTTTTATAAATGAAGAACCAAGCTCAGAGAAAGGAAGCCAGAGCCGGCATTCAGCCAGGCCTGTTTGCATGTCTGCCCTCAGATGCACTAGGGGCGGAGAGGGAGACTTCAAGAAGGGAGATGCCCTGCTGCACAGACAGTCGCAGTGATGGAAAAAGGGCAGGAGCAGCTGAGGGGGCTGGGGGTGGGTGGGGACAGACAAAAGTCATGACACATATAAAATGTCAAAATAGGGGCTGGAGAGATAGCACAGTGGGTAGGGCGTTTGCCTTGCACGCGGCCGATCTGGGTTTGATTCCCAGCATCCCATATGGTCCCGAACACTGCCAGGAGTAACTCCTGAGTGCAGAGCCAGGAGTAACCCCTGTGCATCACCGGGTGTGACCCAAAAAGCAAAAAAAAAAAAAAAAAAAAAAGAAAAAGTCAAAATAGGAGTCTGGGTGATTACAGTAGGTAGGGCATTGCATTGGGCACCCCACATAGTCCCCTGAGCTCTGCCAGGTGTGATCTCTGAGTGCAGAGCCAGGAGTCAGCCCAGAGTGCAGCTGGGTGTGGCTGCAAAGTCAAAAAAATAGTTGAACCAGAGGGGGGGTCCAAGGTGACTTAAAGTCGTGGGGGAAGGGGATTTGCTGGAATAATAGCATAGTGGGTAGGATATTTGCCTTGCATGCAGCTGACCCAGGTTCGCTCCCTGGCATCCCATGTGGTTCCCCAAGCACTGCCAGGAGTAATTCCTGAGTGCAGAGCCAGCAGTAACTGCTGAGCATTGCCAGGTATAACCCAAAAGTAAAAAAATTAAAAAGTGACGCCCCCACCCCCAGTGCATGTTCTACACATGGGAGTCCCGGGCCCATGCTCAGGAGAGGGGGAGTTCACGGCTCCCAAAATACCTAGCAGGGACTAATTAAAAAAATGTTTAGGATGATAGAAATTAAAAGAAAAAAAAATATCTGCAGGGGGAACTTTGTGGGAAAGTAGGCATTTCAATCACTCGGGGAATCTGCAAGACATCACATGACCAAGACAAGTGGGACAAAGAAACTAACTTCACAGTGTGGGGATGGTGAGGAAGCAGATCAGGATGGGACAAACTACAGGGGCTCTTGAGTGACAGAGGGCCCAACAGTCCCATGCTGAAGGAACCTCCAGAGGCAGCAGCTTAGTGGCTTGGAAGCAGCCTCTCAGCTCCGCCTGCTGTCTGGTGTGCCCAAGGCTGTGTGCTCAGGCCTGTGCTTCGGCTGCTCCTGGTGTGGGTGATAGAGGGAAGGCCGATCAGGGGGTGGGAGCTAGTCAAAGGGCTAGCGAGTTCTTTCACTGTTCTTACTTTTGGTTTGGGGACCATACCCACTGGTATTCTGGGCACTCCTGACTCTGTGCTCAAGGATCACAAGTGGCAGATTTCACGGAACTAAAGTGGGTGCCGCTGGGACTAGAGCAATAGCACAGTGGGTAGGGCGTTTGCCTTGCATGCTACCGACACAGGTTCGATTCCCAGCATCCCATATGGTGCCCTGAGCACCACCAGGAGTAATTCCTGAGTGAAGAGCCAGGAGGACCCCCTGTGCATTGCCGGGTGTGACCCAAAAAGCAAAAAATAAAAAAATTTTAAAAATAATAAAGTGGGTGCAGGGAATGAACCTGGGTTGGCTGTGTATGAGATAAGCACCCTACCCACTGTTCTCTCTCTCCAGCCCAGAGTCTCACTGTTTTGGTTTTGGTGCCAGTACTCAGGGCTTACTTGTGACTGCGCTCAGGGATCATTGCAGTCTTGAAGGGCTCGGGGGAACCATATGGGCGGCCAGGGATTGAACCCCAATCGGCTGCAAGCAAGGCAACTGCCACACCCGCTGTACTACCGCTCCAGCCCTGAGTATCACTGTTTTTCATCAGCTGTGAGGTTTTGAGGGAAGGGACTTGGAAAATCCCTAGGAGTGCAGACTGACAGGGTGGTAGAGAAGCGGCTGGACGCTGACAGCCAAGACACTCAAGGCTCAGTGGCGCCACACCAGGAACAGCAAGGGCCCCGGAGAGAGCGCACTTCACCTCAGACACATGGACGGTGCCTCTGCGCTGGGCACTGCTGCCCGCAGTTCAAGCCTGCTGGGTATTCCTGCTCGTCACAGCCCCCTCATCTGTCTGTGTGAGAAGAGGTGTTCAAAGAAAGTGGGGAAAATCACTCAAAAGGTCAGCATTAAAAAAATAAACACTTGGAGTCAAATCTAATGACCGGGATCCCTAATTTGGAACCTTAGTTAAGGAGAATGTTTTTCTTAAAAAGACAAATCCAGGGCTGGAGCCATAGCACAGCGGGTACGGCGTTTGCCTAGAACGCGGCCATCCCGAGTTCAATTCCCAGCATCCCATATGGTCCCCTGAGCACCACCAGGAGTGATTCCTGAGTGCAGAGCCAGAAGTAACCCCTGTGCAATGCCCGGGTGTACCCCAAAAAAAAGCAAAAAAAAAAAAGACAAATCCAAGGTCGGAGGAGAGTGCAAAGGGCAGGAGCGTGGGCTTTTGGAGTTCTTTGTTTGTTTATCTGTTTCTGGAGAGGTCCCGGGACACAGGGTTTACTCTTGGCTCTGTGCTCAGGTATTACACCTGGCAGTGCTCGGGGAACCATACGGAGGATCAAACCTGGGTCCCGTGCAAGAAAAATGCTCTACCTGGGGCGATAGTATAGTGAGTAGGGCGTTTGCCTTGCACGCAGCTGACCCAGGTTCAATCCCCGGCATCCCATATGGTCCCCCAAGCACCGCCAGGAGTAATTCCTGACTGCAGAGCCAGGAGTAATCCCTGAGCATCACTGGGTGTAATCCAAAAAAAAAAAAGCCTACTGTACTATAACACCAGTCACAAGCTTAGCATTTTGGAGGCCCAGGTTTGATCCCTGGCACCACACGGTTGCCAGAGCACGGAGCCAGGATGTGAACCAAAGTCCAAATAAAGACCAAAAAATAAAGATCTTAAACTGCTCAAAGGGTGAGAGCGTGTGACTCACCAGCAGGAAGCCCAGACTCTACCCACCACTGCACTGCCAGAGGCAGCCCCCGGTGTCAGCATTGGCTGTGGCCCTGGAAGCCCCTCTCCAAGCTTGTCTGGGTATAACCTCCCCCTGCCTCACCCCTAAATTATGACAAGTTTTTTTCTCTCGTGTTTCTGAATACTGGAGTACCTATGTGACACCTGTTAGTTCTGCATCCTGGCCAGAAAAGGCTCAAAATATCAGGGCTGGAGAAATAGTACAGTGGGTCGGGTACTTGCCTTGCATGTGGCTGACTAAGGTTCAATCCCCAGTACCCCAGCAGGTCCACTAAGCCCCGTGAGAAGTAATCCCTGAGCACAAAGCCAGGAGTAAGCCCTCAGTGTGGGAAAGGCTGGGTGTGGCTCAAAAATAAAAGAATTCAAAAGTCTGTTCTCCCCAGGAAAATCTCCAACCTTGCTTCAGGGTGAGGAAAGAGAGCACGAGGGGCCAGAGAGACAGTACAGCAAGTGCTGGCCTTGCAAGCGGCCAATCCAGGTTCAATCCCCAGCACCCCATACGGTCCCCCGTGTCTGTGAGGGGTAATTCCTGAGTGCAGAGCCAGAAGCCCTGAGTGAGTGGCCCAAAAACCAAAAAAAAAAAAAAAAAGTATCGTTAAAAAGAGTATGGGGGGCTGGAACAATAGCACAGCAGGTAGGGCGTTTGACTTGCACGCGGCCAACCTGGGTTCGATTCCCAGCATCCCATATGGTCCCCTTAGCACCACCAAGGGTAATTCAGGAGCACAGAGCCAGGAGTAACCCCTATGCACTGCCGGGTGTGACCCAAAAAAAGCAAAAAAAAAAAAAAAAAAAGAAGTGTGGGACGTTGGGACGTGGAGGTAAGGAGAGGTGTCCACACCGGCCCGGCAGGTTCTAAAGCCCTCGTGGCTCGGCTTGAGTCTAGGCCCCTAAAGGCACGTTTCTGCCCAGCCAGACCCCCAAAGCCTCTACCCAAACAAGCAACTTACGTGCCTGTAGAATCTACTGCCACAGCCCGGACCCCACCGCGGTGACAGAGAATCTTGGCCAGCGGCTCCTTCATCGCTGGACTCCACAAGGACACCGTACCTGGAGGCCAGAGGGGAAGAGCGACAGTTATTAACGGGGACAGTGGCAATTAACCTTGGGAAAGGTGGGGACGGAGGCCACAAGGTGGCGAGGGAGGGAGGTAAACGAGAAGGCAGCTTCGCAGGTGAGACAGAGAAGCAGGTGAAGGTGGACGGTCAGAGTCGGTGCTCAGTGAGGACTGACCATTGCTGTGGCCCAGGTGGATGACAGCGTTGTAAGGGTTTTGAGTCATGACGTCGAGGCGGCCAGCCCGGGCGTTCAGAGCAGCCACGATCTTCCCCACGGACACGTCCAGGTAGGTCAGGAACCCAGTTTCTGACTGTGATAGAGGGAGACTGAGCACCCGCCCTCCCCTCATCCCGGCACCCAGAGGCAGGGAATCTTGTCTCTTCCATCTCACCGCTGAGGCCAGGAGGAAGTGGAAAGGCAGGAACTCGAGGCGGGTGATGCGGTCACAGCGGCGGATGCAGTGCAGCTCAATGCCCTGGTTGTCGTAGATGTGAAGCCAGCGGTGCTGAGCAACGGCCAGCAAAGCCTCGGAGTGCAGAAACCTGGGGGGTGGGGGTGGGTCAGGGAGAGAAGGGCCCCAGGGCGCCCTTCCGGCGTGGGCTCCCTCACCCCCACCAATCGCCGACAGACCACTGACCGGATGTCCCGCACTGCCTCCATGACGTTGATCTCGCACGTGAGCCTCTTCGTCACCCAGTCAAGGGCAGCCACATGCCCCCGGCGCCCCCCGAGAGCCAGATGCCTATTGGAGGTGGAGGGAGGGATGCGGAGGTAAGAGCATCCTCAGAACGTCTGAGGTCCACTCCGTGCCAGAGAGGAGAGACGCTATGTGGTCCGCAAGGTGGCAACCCAGACACGTACCCCTTAGTTGAAACAGTCATGGGAACACAGTCACAACTTAATTCAAAAGTCATGGGAACGAGAAGCCAGAGAGATAGCACTGCCAATAGGACATTTGTCCTGCATACGCCTGGCCCAAGTTCGGTCCCCATAGAGTATATAGGGTATATATGGGGTATCCCATAGGGTCCCCTGAGCACCACCAGGAGTAATTCCTGAGTACCGAGCCAGGAGTTATTTCTAAGCATTAGTGCAGTGTGACCCAAAAAGCAAAAAAAGAAAAAAGTCACCAGAATTCAACTTTTACCTCCCAGTGCGAGAATAATTCAATCTGTAGGGTCCAAACTGTCGCAAGTTCAGGTCAAAGTGCTGGGGAAAGGTGGGGAGAGGGGAGAAGAGTTTTAAAAAGCACTGTTTCCCTTCAGTAACCCATCCTCTCATTCCTACCTCCCTCTTGGTCTGTGTCACCCACCCGCCATTTTGCCCCGCACTTGGGCCAACCTTGGCTGCACTTGCAATGTCCACAGCCTCCACGATGTCAGCCTGGCGAATCGTTGCAGTGTCCTCCCCATCCTCCCCTTCCAAAAAGCTGCAAGTGAGAGTATTAGGGGCATGAAACTTCCTCATGGGACACAGACATTACCAGACGTGTAACATGAACATGAAGAATGCCATCAAGGGGCTGGAGCAATAGCACAGCAGGTAGGGCATTTGCCCTGCATGCAGCCAACCGGGGTTCGATTCCCAGCATCCCATATGGTCCCCCAAGCACCGCCAGGAATAATTCCTGAGTGCAGAGCCAGGAGTAACCCCTGAGCATCACTGGGTGGGACCCAACAAAAAAAAAAAAAAGAAAGAAAAAGAGAGAGACCCCGCTAGGGTCCACTTACCCTGGCTCTTCAGCGAGCAGCAGTTCAGAACGAGCCGCTTTGGCACTTGCTTCTTTTTCCTGGGCTTCCGCCGCTTCAATCTGACTCTGTGGCTCCCGCTTGGAACGCGGCAGCTAGATCACCGTTGCGTGGGAGAGAATTGAGGGAAAACTCAGAACATGTGGATCACAGAAGGGTCCCCCTCTGGCCGCACTGCCACCCAACTCATCCACATGCCCCCTCCCGACACACCTCCCTCCACCCCTCTCGCAGGGGATGGCTCACCTTTTGGGATTTGTTGATGCGACAGAACTTCTGGGCCACCTCTACCTGCACGGGGGCGGGGCCCGGAAATGGGTCCTGGGCCTGGGGAGGAAGAAATCAACTAGGAGGTAAGTTCGTGTGGACCCCATTCCTTGGACCCACAGGGGGACTTGCCCCGCCATCCTCTCCGGGCCCAGACTCACCCCTGACAAGGTCCGCCGACGCTCTGGATCCTGCAATTCTCGGGGTTTCTTTGTGACCTGGGGCTTCCTGGAGACCCGAGACTTCTTTAGGATGTGAGTATTCTTTGCCTTCTGAGGGCGCAGCTCTCGAGTCCTCTTCTTGCGAGGGGGCCCTGGCGAGGCTCCAGCGGAGTTCGAAGCGGCGGTCTCTTCCTCCCAGTAACGCCGTGGTTTCTAGGGGCACACGGGGAGCCCTGATGCTCCGGGGACTGTGGCCCGCCCCACCCGTCCATCCCGGAGCCATGCGCGTCCCTCCCACCCAGGGAGGAGGTCTGTACCTTCTTGACCTGACGTTTGGCCTTCTTGGGAGGGCCACGGCGGCCCGGCTTAGGGGCCGTCTCCATCTCGTCCCGCGAAGACGTCCCACGTGCAAAACTCTCAGCTGTCCCACAGTCGGACTGCAAGCTCCCGGAAGCCCTCTTGGTCTCATCCAATCAGCATGCAGTGGGTCTGAAGCTCTCAAGGCGCCATATTGGAGAAGGGCGAGCGTTTCATTGAAGGGCGGGACTTCCTGTTGCCCTGGTCCTCCCCAACAGCGGACAATGCCCAAGCAGTGAAAGACAGATAAACACAGGATAGGGCCCCCAAAGCAAGTGCGCTTACTTTTACCAGTTTCGTTACCCTACCTTGCTTGGAACCTTACGATTCTAGGCCCTTAAGGCTGAACGCCACGCATTTTACAGGTCAGAACTACAATTCCCGGCATGCGTCGGGAGCCAGTGTCCCGTGCCCCTTTTCCCAGCATCCTTTGTTTACTTCCGGGTTTATTAACACTGAAGGCTTGGAGAGCGTGAGTGGAGCCGGGCTTCGGTTAAAGGATCGGGGATCTCGTTTCTCAGGCCGGCTCCCTGCAAAAGCTGCTGTGCCCCGGGAAGCTGCCTCGAGGAGAGCAGGCGTTTCTGCGGGACGTGGGGCGTCGGGTACCTTTCGTAGCGTGAGCCCCACTCCCCAGCTTCCCGGAGGTGTTCGTCCGCGCCATGGCCGAGCTGATCCAGAAGAAACTACAGGGGGAGGTGGAGAAATACCAGCAGCTACAGAAGGGTGAGGGACCGTGTGTCGGCTCGCTGCCCCAGCCCCGGCCTCCCAGCCCCGAGTTACGGAAGATGCGTGATGCCCGGCCGGGCTCAGCGTGCCCGGCGCCCGCGCACAACCGCGGTCCCCGTTCTGGGCCGTTTCTCCCCAACCCCTCTGCTCCTGACGCGGTGGCACCGGGGATGTCTCTGACCGTAACCTCTCCTCTTGCTCCGTAGACTTGAGTAAGTCCATGTCAGGGCGGCAGAAACTTGAGGCCCAGCTCACAGAAAATAATATCGTGAAGGAGGTAAGCCTGGGGGTAAGAGGAGCGAGGAGGGGCTGCCGAGAGTAGTTCTGATTCTGTTGCCTCCCACCCACCACCCCTCTCAGGAACTGGCCCTGCTGGATGGATCCAACGTGGTCTTCAAACTTCTGGGCCCCGTGTTGGTCAAACAGGAGCTGGGGGAAGCTCGAGCCACCGTGGGGAAGAGGCTGGACTACATCACAGCTGAAATGTGAGTCTGCCTTCCGCCGACCGTTATGCACTTGACGTTGGCGTGGGAGTGTGGAAGCGCCTGCGGGGTGACTCCCAATTGTCAGGTTCCAGGGGCTGAAGCGAGAGCACAGCGGATAGGGCGTTTGCCTTGCCCACACCCGACCCGAGTTCAATTCCCAGCATCCCATATGGTCCCCTGAGCACTACCAGGAGTAATTCCTGAGTGCAGAGGCAGGAGGAATCCTGAGCATCACCGGGTGTGACCCAAAACCCAATTGTCAGGCCTCTCTCTGGCTCTCCCGTCCTCCGTGCCCCTCCCTCCCTCCCTCCCCTATGTCTTATTGGTGGGCATGGGTTGTGCCCCCCAATGTCTGTCTCCTGCAGCACCCGCAGTAGTAAGCCATGCCGATTTCTCCTCCCATGCTTTGTCTCCCTCTTCTCCACAGTAAGCGATACGAATCCCAGCTCCGGGACCTGGAGCGGCAATCAGAGCAGCAGAGAGAGACTCTGGCTCAGCTACAGCAAGAGTTCCAGCGGGCCCAGGCAGGAAAGGCCGGGGCTCCCGGGCAGGCCTAACCTCAGGGGGGCAGAGGGCAGGGGAGGGAGGGAAGCAGCTCAAGGGTCTATACTGTGGCTAATAAAATGTGAAAACAATCAGCTGTTCCACTTTCGTCATGATTGTCTCCATCCATTACCCTCTCACCATGTGCATTACTCCCTCAGGTCCAAATTCTGGAGACTGGACTGACACAGCAATTCGTAATTCTTTTTTTTTTTCCTGCTTTTTGGGTCATACCCGGCATTGCCCAGGGGTTACTCCTGGCTCATGCACTCAGGAATTACCCCTGGCGGTGCTCCAGGGACTATATGGGATGCTGGGAACCAAACCCGGGTCGGCCGCATGCAAGGCAAATGCCCTACCCGCTGTGCTATTGCTCCAGCCTTGCAATCCGTAATTCTTGAAAAGATCTGGGGACCAGAGCCGGAGCCATAGTACCTGGGGTACAGTGTTTGCCTTGCATGCGGCCAATTTGGATTCAATCCCTAACATCCCACTGGATCCCCCAAGCACCACCAGCAGTAATTCCTGAATGCAGAGCCAGGAATAACCCTTTAGCATCTCCGCGTGTGGCCCAAAAAAAACAAAAAAGGTCTTGGGGCCATAGGGATTGTACAAGAGGGAAGGCACTTGTCCTAAATGTGGCTGACCCCACTGTGAATCTCGGCACCACACCTAGCCTAAACACTGCCAGGAGTGATTCCCTGAGTGCAGAGCCAGGAGTGAGCACAACCAGGTATGCTCCAAAAACCAAAACAGAAAAATAAAGGGCCTGAGAGATTGTACAGTGGGTGAGATACTTGTCTTGCACGCGGGTTGACCCAGGATTGATCCTCAGCACCTCATATAGTCCCCTGAGCTCCACCAGGAATGAGCATCGAGCCTGGAGTAAGCCCTATGCACAGCAGAGCACAGCCTAAAAGTGGGAAATAAAACCTGGGGGGCCAGAGTGATAGTGCAGCAGGTAGGGTGTGTGCTTTGCAAAAGGCCGACCCAGGTTCAATCCCTGGCACCCCATATGGTCCCTCTGCCAGTAGTAATTCCTAAGTACAGTTAAAAATGAACCCTGAGCATCAATGGGTGTAAACCTTCCTGCCCCCCCCCCACACACACACACACAGTCTAGAATGACTGATCTACTTCCTGTTGGGATACATCCCTGAACTCTCTCCCTTGTCTTTGGTGATGAACCTCTCAAGGCACCATGAAAGGAGTTACACTGCAATAAACTTTGGCATGTCAGGATGCAAATATTCCCAGTTAGATGAGACTGCAGGGTGAAAGTGGAGATAAACTGGCTCTGGTTGCTAGCTTCCAGGCATCCCACCATCATCTTGTTTCTCAGCAGCCTAATTTCCTTTAACGTTTGACTATAATGTCTATGGATTTAAAATCCAGCAGAGTGAAATGAGTCGGAGAGAGACACAGAATGACTGCATTCATTTATGGTATATGTGTGTGTGTGTGTGTGTGTGTGTGTGTATGGACTAATATCCATGGTAACTAATATCCATGGGAAAACGGGCTAGTTTAAGGGGTCAATGGTTGGAATCAACCACAAGTGGGGGGGGGGGCAGAGGGTAGGTAAGCTAGAGAAGGGACAGTATGACAATAATAGCTGGAAATGATCACATTGGACAAGAACTGAGTGCTAAAAGTAGGTAAAGGGATATTCCTGATAACTTTCCAGTATCCATAATGCAAACCACAATGCCAAAATGGGAGGGGGGGCAGGGCGAGGGAGAGAGGGAGAGGGGGAGAGAGAAGCAACTGCCATAGAGGCAGGCTGAGGGTGGGAGGGTGATGGGAAACTGGGGACACTGATTCTAGGAAATGTACACTGGGGAGAGATGGGTGTTGGTAGAACATTGTATGGCTGAATCCTAATCATAAACAGCTTTGTAAGGGTCTATCTCACAGTGATTCAACTAAAATGGTAAGGTAAAGGTAAAGGCCCTCCCGTTGTTCATCGATTTGCTCGAGCGGGCCCAGTAACGTCTCCATTGGAGACTTTGTTGTTACTGTGTTTGGCATATTGAATACTCTCAGTAGCTAGCCGGGCTCTCCGAGAGGGGCGGAGGAATCGAACTCGGGTCCGCCATGTTGGCTGCGTGCAAGGTAAACGCCCTACCGCTGTGCTATCGCTCCAGCCCCCAACTAAAATGAATAAAACCAAATCCAACACAGCCCTTGGCAATGTTGTAAGTCTACCTATTGTCCAAGTTCTTCCACTTTGCTCTAAAGTTATTTCTTGCAAATTTGTGGCCAGGAGTTCTGACATGAATTAGGTGGCTGGTACTGATAAGGGCTTATGACAACTGAAGAGAAAAACAGAGCAGGGAGAAAGGGATGCTGGGAGGACTCAAACCACTGAGACTCTGGCATCCGGCTTTCTGCCCTCCGTGGGGCTAGAAAGACCATTGTCCAGCTCCCCAGCCCACTCACCCACTCACGGCAACTCACTCATACACACTGCAAGGAAAAAGAAATTGCTTCAGGTAGGAATTGAGGTACAGGATGGAAACACCCAAAATATGGTGGCGGGAAGGTGTAATGGTGGTGGGATTGGTGTTTGAATATTAAATGTAATCCAATACTGTGAACTACTTGATAAAATTTTTTTTTTAAAAGAAATTGCTTCAGGTAGTGTTTTGGTTTATTATCTTAGTGTTGTCACAGTGACCGGGACCTCCAGAAGAGGAAAAGAGCCTCCTGCTAGAACCGTCTTCTTGCCATTCCTCTCCCCAGGACTCAGAGCCCCTAGGCTTTTTCTTCTCCCCCCTATTTCTAGGCCCTTCTTTGGCTCTTGGCACGCTAAGATGGGGCCAGAACCAGAAAGGAACCTTTTCCCCAGCACTCTCCATGGGCTGCGTTGATGGAAAGTGGGGAGCTGTACTCAGGGATCCCACACGGCTGGATCCGGTTGCAAAGCCAGTAGCTCTTCACTGCCCCGGGGTGGCTGGCCACCTCTCTGGGTTTCTTTCCAGTGCGGTGTAACTGCCCCATTTGGGACGGCTACCCATATCCAGTAAGGCCACCGAGGGCTCTGTGGATTGACAGAGCCTCCTCAGAACAGTGCACGGGCGAGCTTCCTCCCCGTGGCCTTGATCCTGGGGAAGGACCCGCCGCCCCCCTCACTCGGGGGGGTCCCGGAGGCAGCAGGGCCGCTGGCAGTGCCGGGGGTGGCCGCAGAGGACCTTCGCCGCTGCCGCAGGAGAAAGTCGTGTGACGCGCCATCCATAGCATAGAAGACATTGGCCGAGGGAGGGATGGTCAGCTCTGTAGGTTCAGAGAAGGGACACTGAGCATGGTGCATCCCCACTCTGAGGGTCCTGCCGTCCCAGAGCCACCTGCCCCCGTCGCCTCTGACCTCGCTCCCCTGGCAGTAGCTGCACGAGCTCGTACTCTGAAGCCACTGCGGAATTACGATTGTTTTTCTTAAGGACACGGCTGATGACACTTGGAGCCTTGTCCTGGCTTGTAACCTGGCAAAACAGGAGACCCAAAGCAGTTAAGTTGGCTACGGTGACTCCTGCTTCCAATTCTTTTCCCCTTCCTTTTTACTTTGGTTTGAACTTTGAGGCCACACCCAGCAGTGCTGAGGGCTCCCCCCTGGCCCTGTGGTCAGGACTCACTCCTGGCAGGGCTGGGAGGACACTATACAGCGCTGGGCGTCGAACCAGGTGGGGTCAGCCGTGTGCCAAGCAAGCACCTTACCCACCATACTGTCTCTCCAGCCTGTGTTCAAATGAAACCCAGGACAGTGCTTCCCTGTTCTTCCTGTCAGCCATCAAGTTACCAGGTGACACAGGGCTACTTCCCTGCCAGGAAAAGGAAGTTGGTTCTGAAAACTGAATGTGGCCATGCAAGGTGTGGCAGCTAAGACAGAGTGGCCACGGAAACCAAATATGGTGGGGCCAGAGACAATACAGGGCTGAAAGGTGCTACACTGCATGCAACAGGCTTGGTTCCATCTCCAGAACCACAGAGGGTCCCCTGAGCCCTGTCAAGGGTCATTTCTGAGCACTGGGCCAGGAATAATAGCCCCACAGCACTGCTGAGTGTGGGGCTATTCCTGGCAGCCCTTTACAAATTAGTAAAATCTGGGGGCTGGAGCAGGTAGGGCTTTTGCCTTGTACACAGCCAACCCAGGTTCAATTCCCAGCATCCCTTATGGTCCCCTGAGCACTGGCAGGAGTAATTCCTGAGTGCAAAGCCAGGAGTAACTTCTGCGCATTGCCACATGTGACCCAAAAGGCAAAAAAAAAAAAAAAAAGTAAAATTAAAACGTGGCAGAATTTTTTCTAAGCCCATGATTGCTCTTGTGCTCTCGCTCACATGTTCTCTCACACATACATTTCTATAAATTTCATTTGGGGGGGAGTTGGAGCCACACCTAGTGGTACTCAAGGCTTACTCCTTGTTCTGTGCTCAAGGATCATTCCTGGTGAAGCTCACGGACCACATGGGGTGCCTGGGATGAACCCAGGTCAGCTGTGTACAAGGCAACAGCCCTTCCCACTGTACTATCGCAACAGCCCCCCAAGTCTAAATTTCTTTCAATAAAAGCTAATTTGCAGGGTTGGAGTGACAGTACGGCCAGTAGGGCTCTTACCTTGCACACAACTGACTGGGACTCTTTCCCCATATCCCATAGGGTCCCCCGAGCCCACCAGAGGTAATTCCTGAGTGCAGAGTCTATAGTAACCCCTGACCATCGCTGGATGTGGCCCCCAAACAAAACAAAAAGACTATTTTGCTTCACTAATAACGAAAAACCACAAAGGTCATAATTCGAATTGGAATGCTCCTCCCACTGGCGCTGCAAACTCAGCCCTAGGCCCGGAGAAGGTTCCTGGGGCCTCACCAGGATGCTCTTGTAGACGCTGCCGTCTTCCCCCAGCTCCATCTGGACCCGGATGATGCGGCAGTCAGAGGACCCTGGCCCCGAGCCCCCGGGCCCGTACCCAGCGCCCCCAGAGGCCCCCTCTGCGCTCCCACTGAGCGGGGAGCCACAGGAGGCTGAGCGGCGATGGCCTCGGGGGGGCCGCGGGGAGGTGGCCGGGGGCGAGAGGTGGCTGGGGTCCGCGGCACTATGCAGGGAGGGAGACGTTTCCAGGGCAGAGTCCAGGGACGACACTGAAGGCCACTTCATGTGCTGAGGACAGAGAGGGAAAGGGGCATGAATGCAGGAGGGTCGGGGAGAAACCGTCAGGGTGGGCATCGGAGCAGAGGACGCGGCTCACCTGGGCCAGCCGGGTCAGGAGCGGAGCGGGGGTTCCAGGGCCCTCATCTCCTCCGCCACTGGGCCGGTCCCAGGAGACAAGCGGGCTGGGGCCCCCCACAGAGCCCAGAACCCTAGAAAGGGAGGAGGGTGAGAGGTTCACGGAAGAAGGGCGAGTCCCCAAGACACTCCCCCGCCGCTGACTTGCTCACTCTGTCCACTGAGAGATGACCAGCGCTGGCCGAAGCACCCGCGGGGCCGCAGGGTCACTGGTACCAGATGGCTCCACGTCACAGGACACACGATGGCTGGGGAGCAGGTGCCAGGGGTGAAGGTCAGGATGTGACATCCCAAGGTTCACTCCCGGCCTGTGACCTGGGAGTCCCAGCATCGCCCCGTTACCTCTGGGCCTCGGTCAGTGGCCGGAGTCCCCGCAGCCAGCGCTGGATATCAGGGTCAGGTCGGAGGTCATAGCCGCGACACTCATTCTGCAGCCGCCGCAGCTCGGAGAGGACAGCAAATTCCTAGGAAGGGCCTCAAACTGTAGCAGGCCCGACTTGGGGAGCCCCGCCGTGTCCCCCCGGGGTACGGGCACGGAGGCAGTCCCGCCCCCCACATGCCCTCACCTTCCTCCGCTTGTCAAAATTGATGTATCCATTCTGCAAGGACAGAGAGAGTGACATGAGAACCCCAGCGTGCCCCAGCCCCCCACGCCCAGGCTCACACATGTCCCCCCCTCAGCTCAGACTTCCCACGCTCTCCCACCCTCCTGCCCCCGACTGCCCCTCACATCCAGCCTGACCTAAGCACTCGCCGCACCTTATTTTTATCAATGTCCTTGTTTTCTGGGCCACACCCCGTAGCACTCAGGGATCACTCCTGGCAGAGCTCGGGGTGCCAGAGATCAAACCCAGGTCCGACCACACGCAAGGCAAATTCCCTACCCACTGCGCCCTACCCATTATAACATCACTTCCATGTTTTATCAGCTATTAACATACCATTATTTACAGTACCGTTAATATCATTAAGGTATACACACTCCACCTTTAATCCATCAACCCACCCCCCCTCCTTCCCCACCATCCCGCCACACAAACCTCACCTATAAAGTGAGCAACAGTGACAAAACCTGGGCCTGGGGGGGTGACCAAACCAAGACCAAGCAGAGAAGGGGCATGAAGGGCGGCTCCAGAGGTAACAGAAGCGCCCCGGTGGAGGCCGGGGGCACTTTTGGGGTAAGCCAATGCCTGCATCAGGACCACCATTGCTAGGGCAGGAGACAGTACAGCAGTAGGGCCCTTGCTTTGCATGCAGTGGGCCCCGGCTCAATCCCCAGCACCGCGTGCGGTGGCTAAGAGCCGCCAGGGGGCGCACCTGAGCACAGACTTCAGAATAGCCTTCAGCACTGCTAGCCGGCTGTGTTCACTTTACAATGAGAAAGTTTTGAGCTCACATAGGACAAGGAATTTGACCGAAGTCTCAGTATCTATGTAGCTCACTACCCAGGCTTACATTTCAGGCACAGTCCAAAGAGCAGATGGATGGAGATGTATTTCCCGTGATAGGACACAAGGGCACAAAGAGGTTAAGCAGCTTGCATGCAGGGAAGATGGACCTCTGTGCAGGGGGAGGCCCACGAAATATCCGTTCCACTGTGTGGACGCACACACACATGGACACACGTGTACATATGTGCGCACAAGCATACACACACTCCCACTGACCTCCAGCTCTCTCACACACACACACTGTTCTCTTGCTCACACATACACACCCACTGACCTCCAGCTCACACACACACAAACACACTAACCTCTAGCTCACACACACACATCACACTGACCTCCAGTTCACACAAACAAACACACCCAATGATCTTTGACACACACACACACACACACACACACACACACACACACACACACAGACCACTGACCTCCAGCTCATCCTTGGAGGCTGCATCCAGCATCACCAGGTCTTTCAAGAAAGTCCCGAGGTAGGGAACCACACCCTGCAGTCAGAGCTCAGGGTCAGGCGCTCCCCGTCAATGGTCTGGGCTTCTCCATCCCCCCCTCACTTCCCCGTTCCACTGCCTCAGAGGACAAAGTTATCTCTTCTTACCGGGCCATGTCACCCTCCACTCCCTCACGCCAGTGGATACCCCCCTCCCCAGTCCCATCCAAACCCTATTAACTCCGGTCACTCACCCCACCCCGGAAGCCAGACCTCGGGGACTTCTTGGAAGCGGCCTCCAGGGAAGGTTGCAACTTGGCCTCCTGGTGGGAGCAAAGGAGCAGTTATGGGCGCCCGCCGGGCAGCCGGGCCAGCCGGGCCTGAGGGAGCCTTACCTGCAGGAGCAGCTCCCGGCTCTGGGAATAATTATCCTCCTCCGAGAAAATCTGGCAGAGGCTGGAGAACACTCGGAGGCTGTCCCTGGACAAAAGGCAGCAGCCTTAAGGATGGGGCTGAGGCCGGAGCGAGGGTGCTGTGGGGAGGGCATCTGCGGCCCCGGGTTCGATTCCCTGGCACCCCACATGGTCCCCCAAGCCCACCAGGAGTAATTCCTGTGCACAGAGCCAGGAGTAACCCTTGAGCATCACCGGGTATGGCCCAAAGACCAAAATAAAAAAAAGGATGGGGCTGGTCTGCACCGCGCAACCCCCCAGTCCTATCCACCCCCATCGTCCCACCTGGCTGCTTCCCCCCAGGCGGCCCGAAGCCTGTGGATGGGGCTGGACTGCAGGGCAGACACCACAGCGTAAACCGACGAGAAGTTCCGGAGCAAACGGCACTCCTGGGGGCAACACAAGCAGACAGTGGCTGCGGGACACCCCTCCTCGCCATGGCCCCAGAGGTCACGGTCTCCCTCTCACCTCGGCCACTCGGATCCATTTCTCCAGGAGCCGGGCCCTCTGCGGGGGACGAAGGGGCCTCACGGTCACCTCCCCAGGGCCCTCCCCCGTTGAGGTGGCGCCCAGGACAGAGCTGACCACTGCCCCGGCCACCTTGTTGAACTGTGTGACAGTAGCTCGGACAGACGGGCAGAGGTGGGAATGGCCTGGCCGGTCTCGGTGACCCCACAGGGCCCCCAGGCACTGAGAGGGGACCAGGCTGAGAAACAGTTCCTGCAGAGCAGAGGGCGGAGGTTAAAGGTCAGGGTCAGGGGCGAGCCATCTCCTACTAGCAGGGGTGCGAGGATCGCAGGTGGCCAAGGAACCAGAGGGGCACAGGGTGTCAAAGGTCACGCCCCCAAGGGAAAAAGGGGACAGAGGAGGCCGGATCGGGAAGGGGTGGAAGCAAGGACAGGCGATGGAGTCAAGGCGAGGTTAGTAAGGGGTCAGGGGGCAGGAGGGTCAGAGGTCAAGGTCTCACCGCATCTAGCAGGGTCAGCTGCTCGGCCAAGTGGTCAGCGAGGAACACCAGGACATCCGTGGGGTCAGCAGGGGGGTCGCCGGGGAGGGCCAGGGGCTTAGGAAGGTCGGGGGCCTGGGGGTCCACCCGGGACCGTAGGTTGCGGATGAGGTCAGCGCTGCCCCCCCCAGCACCCTCCCCGGCTGCATACCCTGTCCGAAGCAAGCAGCTCTCAAGCCGGTCAAGCTGACCCTTGACCTCAGAGCCAAAATCCTCAGGGTGAGAGGCCAGCCAGGTGGACAGTACAGAGATGGCTACCCTGGGAGAAGGGAATCGGCCAGGGGTGAGACGCCAGGGCGCAGGTCAGGCCGCGGCCGGGGGCAGCGCGTCACTCACCCCGTGCTCCTCTCCAGTTCCTCAGCGGAGCCAGACTCCAGCGCTTCCAGCCTGGGGAAGAGACCCTCTCTGTCCTGTCCACCTTCTGCCCAGGGATGCTGGACACTGCGGGGGTCTAGTCCAGCCAGGGAGGCCAGGCTGCCTCCCTGACCCACCGTCCCTCCTGACCCTCACCTGTCAGCCACGAGTCCTAGCAGAGCGGGCGTGGAGACGAAGGCCCGGTGGGTGGCCAGGAAGGCTTCGGTGAAGGTCACGTCGGCCCCTGCCGTGCGGGGGTCGAGCAGGTGTCTGACCAGGGCCCCCAGAGTGCCAGCCCGGAGCCTTCGGGAGGAGCGTGGGGGAGGTGTGGGGGCCTGGGGGAGACAGAAGGCGGGCACTGACCCTCCCTTGGACCCGGATGAGCCAGGCTCATGGCCCTGAGGTCACACGAAGACCGAAGGCGGGTCTCCCGCCCTCCAATCTGGACCTCGGGTCAACAATGCCAGAGGCCACAACTGCGAGCATGGGGTCAGAGGTGAGAGGCCAGAGTTGGGACCTCACCGAGGGCTGCAGAGACCGGTACTGGCGGCTGGTGACAGTGAACGTGGCCTCATCTTCCTCCTCATCCCAGACAGACACAGGGGCCTGGAGGAGCGGAGGGAGAAGTCACCGGCTCCCACACCACCCTGCAGCTTCCAGCCCCGGGCCCTGCTCCCCCCTCGGGGTCCCTCACCTGTAAGGGCGGGGGGCAGTACCAGCGGGTACGAGGGGCGGGGGGAGCCGGTGACCCCAGGTCTCCCCCACTGGGGCCCAGACAGCCCCAGCGCCCCCCAAGTCGCCTCAGGGCCCGGTAGAGTCGCGGGGGTAGCAGAGGGGGTGAGGAGCGCAGGCAGGCACCCCGAGGCTGGAGGCTCCCGCGGCCCCTTCCCCCCAGAGCTGAACCCCAACACGGCGGAGAAACCAGGTGCAAAGGGCAGGAGAGGGAAGCGGGAGCCCCGAAGCGAAACCTCAGCGCCTCCGCATGCTCCGCCCTCCCCCACAGGAACCCGGCAGGGCCCTGGATCGGTCCCTCCCCTGCGGCCCTGAGGACCCCCCTCCAGTAGCCGCGGGAGCCGGGTGCAGGGAAGAAAAGGGGAAGCGGGGATGATGTGGGGGATCGCCTCCAAGAGTCACGTGGCCCCGGCCCCTCCCCCAACGGAGCCCGAAAAACCAGCCGGGCCAGTCACCCTGCCCTCACCCGGCCTCTGGACCCGGGACTCCGGGACCTCGGGGCCCCAGACCCAGCTCCTGGCGCCTCCCGGGGCCCCACATCCCGCCGGGGCCTGCGGGGCGGTGGGCGTCCACCCCAGCCCGGCCCCGCGGGGCCCGCCGCCCGGCCGAGGGGGGAGGGCTCACGCATCCGAGGGTTCCCTCCCCAATCCCCGGGCGCGGGCGCCCGTTACCGTGGAGACAAACCCCTCCCCGCCAAACAACAACACCGAGCCGGGGACCGAGCCGCGACGCCGCGGGCACGCGGGCTCGCGGGCCGCCGGCCGGCCGGGACCCCACAGGCCCCCGCGCCGGGGCGCGGACGGACGCGGCGCCGAGTCGGGAGACGTGGGCGCGGACGGGACCCGCGCGGGGACCAGACCCCCCGCGAGTAGGGGGTCCGCGTGTGCACGCCCCCCCCGCCGCCCCGCGCCCCCGCCGCTCACCTCGTCCTCTTCCTCCTCCTCTTCCTCCTGCCCCCCGCCCGCGCCCCGGCCGCCGGGGCCCCCACCCTCTTCGGGGTCTCGGCTCCGGAAGCTGCTCAGCACGACTCCCCCGGGGGGGCTCGTGTCCCAGAGCAGCCGCAGGGGCCGCGGGAGCATGGCCGGGTGGGGTCAGCGGGGTCGGCCCATGGGGGCGCCTGGGGAGAGACCAGAGCGGGGCGGGAGTCAGGAGGGCGCGGGGAGTGGGGCGGGGGGGTGTCCTGGGATCGCGGGGGGGCATCGGAGAGGCTGGGGCGGGGGCCCCCTGGTGGAGAGGGGGGAGCGGAGGGGTCACGGGGACGGGCGGGGTCACGAGGCGCCCGGGCTCTGACCTGCTCGGGAGGGGATGGGGGCAGCGCGCGTCCCGGGCCGCGGGTCCCGCAGGTCTCCGGCCCCCGACGGAGTCCCCGGGCCGAGTCCCCTCCCCGGCTTTCCGCACCCCCGGCGCCCCCCCCCGCCCGGCTCCCGGGCTCTCCCGCCCTTTCCGCTCCCCCCACGTCCGCCCGCTCCGAGAGCGGGAGCCAAAAGAGGAAGGAAGTGAGGACAGTGGCCGGGGCCGCGGACTCGGGCAGCGCTGGACTCGCGGGCGCCGGGACCCCCCCCCCAAGCCCGGGGCCGCGACCCGGCGCCCCCACCCGCGCCGGCCGGCCCCGAGGCTCGGGGGCGCACGTCGCCCCGCAGCGCGCGGGATGGGTGGGAGCCGCCGCGGCAGGGCCCGCGCGGGGCGGGAGGAGGTGACCGCCCCGGCCCCCGTGCCCCGGGCGCTGGGCGGCCGCGGGGCCGCACCCTCCCACGCGCGCAGCGGGGCCGCGCGGTCCACGCCGCGTTTTCCGGGGAGCCCGCGGGGGGGGGGCGGGGCCGGAAGCCGCCGCATCCGCTTCCCGACGGCGCGCGGGGTTCCGGCCGCCCCGGGCCGGCTCGGCTGGACGCTGGAGGGCGTCGGGCCGGCCGCGAGGGCTGCCCGCGGCCCGGGTCACCCAGAGGTCGCGGCCGCTGCAAGGGACCCGGCGCCCGAAGTCCCCACTGGCGCCCGGGACGGTCTCGTGCCCCCTCCCGAGACCCGCCGCCCGCGGGGGCGACAGACCTGGACCCCCGCTCCGGGCCGCGCAGCCGTTCGCTTTGCCCCGCGGGTTTCAAACCCTCTGGATCTGTGAACCCGCGGCTTCAGGACTCGGGGCTGGGGAAGTGACAGTTACGTTGCGCGCCCCCCAGTGGTCGCCGGGCCGGGTGCGGGGGACAGCAGTGGACAGACACAGCTGGAGCTGTGCAGGACCCCCAGTCTCGCGGGGAGACCGCTGTGGGCCAGCGACTGGACCGTCGTTTCAGTGCCACCGTGGCGGGCCTGCACAAGAGACACGCGTGGCTTTCCGAGGGGGTCGGAGGAGGCAGCCCCGGGGGGGATCGGCAGCCTGGCAGGAGGCTTTTGTCTCCCGGAGGAAGTGAGTGGCGGGTGTGCCCTGGCTCCAGCACACGATGCACGTGCCAGTGGCAGAGAAGAGTATTTAATCGGGTGCCCGAGCACCTGTTTTCCCAAATGTGAGCCCTGACCAACTGTGGCCCCTATATGGGGGGCCGGGGGGGGGGGGGAGCCCAGGTTAGGACTATTTTCATCACAGTTTTAAGATGTCACTGGCCTTTTTCACACTTCCAAACGGCGTTACCTAGCTCCCTTGTCTATGTACTGACATCACTGTTCTCAGAATATGTGCCCTAGATATTGTTTCGGTTTTAAATTCCAGTACAATAAGTATCTAGTTATAACCTACCTAAGCAAAACCTCTCAGAGGTCCTTTATAATTTGTTAGAAGCCCTGAGATTTAAAAAAAAAGAAATTTTTATTTTTGAGAAGTACTGCCCTAGAACTTTAAGATGAAAGGTATAGATTTCTGTCTTTCATAAAGTATCCCAGAGAGGGAAGCTCAGTGATTCAGGTCCTAAAAACTCCAGAACACACACACACAGCCAGAGCAATGCAAATCGTCAAGCGGATTTGATTCTATCCCAGGGAGTAAGGGATGCTCAGTGATTCAAGTCCTAAAAACTCCAGACACACACACACACACACACACACACACACACACACACACACACACACACACGGCCAGAGCAATGCAAACGGTCAACCGGATTTGATTCGATCCCCAGCATCCCATAGGATACCCTGAGCACTTCCTGGAGTAATTTCTGAGTGCAGAGCCAGGAGTAACCTCTGAGAATCACTGGGTATGGCCCAAAAACAAAACAACACACACACTCACACACACACACACACACACACACAAACTCCCCATTCCTCCACCCAGCCTCTGATTTAAAAAAAAAAAAAGATTCAATCAGTGGAGAGAGATCCAAGGGAGCAGGAGCAGGTAGGCAGGCAGTACTGTTTGGGAGCCGTTCCAGTAGCTCAGGCCCAAAATCATGTTGGCTTCCCCTAAATGGTGGCCTTCACTTTGTTTTCTCTTTCTGAAAAAGAAATAAGAAGGGGGTGAGGAATGTGGCACTGCAAAGCACAGTGACGCTCTCACAGTCATTCCAAAGATAAATGAACCGTCATGGGCACGGAGCAGGGAGAAGAATGGAACTAATGTGCTTCCTGCAGGGCAGACCGTGCTCCCACTCCCGCATCTTCCAAAGGAGACACTCTCCTCTCACCCAACAGCATCTGCAGCTCTGATGTCTAATTCTGTCATCACCATCCACATCTGAAGTTGGATATCTCAAGTGTGGCTCATTTAGGGTTTTGGGGAGGGGATGGTTTGGGGACACACCCAGCGGTGCCAGGGCTTACTCTTGGCTCTGTGCTCAGGAATCACTCCTGGTGGTGCTGGTGACTGAACTGGGTCAGCCTCATGCACATTCTCTCTCCAGCCCTGGAGTGTGGCCTGTCTAAATTGTGATTTGCTGACAGTTTAAAATAAGCACCAGTGCTTGAAAACATGCTGGAGTGGGAAAGGCTCATTTCCTCAAGCGAAAGCAAATTGAAATGATATTTTGTAAGTCCTTGATAAAAATCAAATACATTATTATAATACACTTCACTTTTTTGGGGGGGGAGTGTATAAGGGAGATTGAGTTTGGGGGCCATATCCAGTGATGATGTTCTGGGGTTGCTCCTGGCTATGCACTGCTGGTGGTACTCAGGGGACTAGATGGGATGCCAGGGATTGAACCCATCAGCCAGTGCAAGGCAAACGCCCTACCCGCTGGACTATCACTCCAACTCCTTTGACCTTTTTTATGAACCTACTAAATGATTAAAGTTGGCAGATGTCTCTTATATCCCATTTCTAGTGGTCAGCACTGAGTTTTTAATTCGTATCCCCAAGGAAAACGAGAGCTCTGTTAAGCAGCACGGTCAAGGCTGCAGGATTTAACCCCGGGCTGTGTGAATTCCAAATCCAGGCTTTGCCCACCAAACCAGCACCGCCCTCCAAGGGTGAGGGGCTAATATAAAAGAAGGGACAGGGAAGGGAAGTGGGGTGCTATTACCTCCTCCTTCAAATCCTCCTTGGGACCAGTCAGGTAGGCAGCTGTGGAGAGAGAGAGAGAGAGAGAAAGGTTGGGAGGAGGGTGGCAGAGGTGGGGGTGGGTTCTGGGGTCTGGGAGTCAGGGACGTGCAGTAGGGGCCTGTTCAGGTGGGGTTCACACGCACCAACCCAGCCCAGCGCCTTCAGCAGTCCAAGGAGGAGAAAGGCAGACAGGAAGAGGCCAACGCCGTCCTCCAGGGAGGGCCCCGAGAGACCTGCAGGCAGAAAGAAGGGGTCCCAGTGAGCTCCCCATCTTCCCATGCCCCAGCCCCCGCTTCTGGACGCTTCTGAATGCTCCGAGTCCTCACCTGCCACCTCCAGCGTGACCGCTGCACTGCGCCCGAAGGTTGGCAGCGTGCGGTGGCGGACGCGGCAGGCGTAGCGGACTCCGTGCTGCTCGAGGGTGACCGGGGGTGGCTGCAGGTGTCCGGAGAGGCTGACAGAGCCATCGGCGTGGTGGCGCAGGGCTGAGAGCCATCGCTGCCCCTCTGCCTTTTGGAAGGCGCCCCCAGGGCCGCCCCGGAGCTCCCACTCCACTTCCAGCCCCTCGGGCGGGTAGAACTGGGATACGTGGCAGACCAGCTCTGGGGGGGCCTCCCCGGGGGCAGCCCACACCAGAGGTGCTGGCATCAGAGACACGGTGGGGGGTTCTAGGGAGAAGGAGAGGAGCATGATGAGGGAGTGAATCCACAATGTCCACCCCTTTGGGGCCTTGGGCTAGCCTCAAACTGGAGGGCTTTGGGTTTTTCTCTGGGGACTGGGACCCCACTTTCTCCCCACTGGTGCATTCCAGGAGCCCCCAGGTCCAAGCCCCCCTTTCTCAGGGATCCCAATTCCCTCAGGCTTGGGGATCCTCATCAAGTCCCTTAAGTTCCCTGGTGTTTTGGCCCATTGCCCCTGACTCCCAGCGACCCCCATGAGCGCACACTGCCTCTGTGCCACCATCCCACTCCGATCATGGTGTTCTCATACCCCAGTGTGCCCCCACTCACTCTGCACTGCAAGATCCAGGGTGACCTGCCCCTGCAGGTAGGGCAGATGGACAGTGGCCAGGTAGGAGCCCTCCTGGGAGGGATGGATTGCAGGCAGCACGAGAGTCCCGTTTCCGGTCCATGGGCCCCACGGCTCGTCATCATCCCAAGCAGCAAAGGTCACTGCCCCATCCTGGGCTCTGGGCAGCGACCCCTTTAGCCCAGGAGTGGAGGCCAGGACCAGGTGTCCCTTGCCCAGGTGCTGGCGCCGCCACTCCAGCCCAAAGGGAGGGACCCCTGGAGCCGGCGCGTCCCCAACCGTGGATGGGGGTGCGTATGCAAAGCTCAGGTCCAGCACTGCATCTTGTCCCAGGCGAACTCGAGACTTGGGGGTGTGGGAGAAGACAGTCAGCACAGCTGTGGAAGATGAGGGCAGGGAATGAGAAGTGGAAAGAGAAAAAAAGAGAGATATGGAGTTATAGGGAGGCCCACAACCATCTGTCAAAATGTAGGGGACACCTCTTTTGGGGGGGTCACAGCTGGTGCTGCTCAGGGCTTACTCCTGGCTCTGCACTCACTCAGTAATTACTCCTGGCGGTGCTTGGAGGACCCTATGGGGTGCTGGGGATCGAACCCAGGTCAGCCACATGCAAGGTCCTGCCTTATGCGCTGTACTATGGCTCCAGCCCTGGTACCTCTTTTTTTGACACTGCCCATCACCCACTTCACTATCATGCCATGGATCTAGAAGTGGGGGAGCAAGGGGGGGCTGCCTGAAGAGAAACTAGAGGTAAAAAGGGGTTAGTGTTCTGAACTCACAGCCATATGAGCTCTGGGACATCTGAGTAAGTTTTTTGGTTTAGGGCCACACTTAGTGCTGCTCAGGGATCCCTCATGCCAGTACTCAGGGAACCACGTGGGGTACAGGGGATCAAACCCAAGTCAGCGGTGTGCAAGGCTGTGCTCTCGCTCCAGCTCTGAAGTGTGCTCCTGATACCATCTGAACCCGCCCACTTCCGAGCACAGCCCGTGAGGAGCAGGCCTTTCCTGACTGTTCGGAAAGGCCAAGGTGGCACGTGAACCAGCCCTGCGGTGCAAAACAGGTCCCTGAACCAGCCTCAACCTGAACACAGACCCCCAGGCTCTGCGGAGGCAGCGGGCAACTGGCTGGGGCCTGGCTGCCTTGGTTGGACGCAACTCCTGCGGCTTTGGACCAGTTACTAGGACCAGTTACTCTTCCCCCACTCAGCTTCCTTCTCTCTTAAACTGGATAACAATGATAACAGTATCTAGAGCCTGGGGTGACTGGTCAAAGTTAAATCACTTAATCCCTATTGCTACCCACATTTACTTCCTTCCTGATTGCAGACAACAAAGTCACCAAGTTAGCAAAGCCCCAGGAACATGGAAAGAAGTTTCTGTGGAGATCCCACTCACCAGAGTACATCCATCAGGTAAGCTCGGTGGCAATTCCTGGAACCTTCCCTCCATGGCTGCAGTACCCATCCTGCACTCCACAGCTGGACGATTCCCACCAGCACCCCCATGGTAAGGACACACACTGGAGACACTCAGATTTTTCATTTCTTTCACAAGTCTGCACGGATCACCTACAGTGCTCCACATGTACAGCTGCCTTTCCCAAAGTGGGGATATAGGCCCCAATGCTGAAAGATCTAGGGGCCTCCGGTGCAATGTGTGGGGGCGCACTTTTTACTTGTTTGTTTAAAGTAGGTAGATGCCAGAGGCCAGAGTGATAGCACAGGGGCTGGAGCTAGCAGAGCAGGTAGGGCGTTTGCTTTGCACGAGGGTACCACGAGTTCAATTCCCAGCATCCCAAATGGTCCCCCGAGCACCGCCAGGAGTAATTACTGAGCGCATGAGCCAGGAGTGACCCCTGTGCAATGCCGGGTGTGACCCAAAAAGAAAAAACAAAACAAAACAGAGTGATAGTACAGTGGGGAGGGCGTTTGCCTTGCACAGAGCTGACCTGGGTTCGAACCCAATGCATCCCATAATGATCCCTAGAGCAGTGCCAGGAGTAATTCTTGAGTGCAGAGCCTAAAGCATTGCCAGGAGTGACCTCCAACTCCTCCCCCACAAAAAAAAAAAAGGTAGATTCCAAGGAGGTCCTAACTTTTTTGTGGGGTGGGTGGGCCACACACTGCGGTACTCAGAGGTTACTTCTGGTTCTGCACTCAGGAATTGCTCCTGGAAGTACTCGGTTATGCCTGGGAATGGAACCCGGGTCAGCAGCATGCAAGGCAAACGCCCCACCCGCTATACTACCACTCCAGCCCTGAACTTTTTTCTTTTCTGGAAGAGAGTAATAGGCCAAGTAGTGAGTGAGACAGGCAGTCCCTGCCCTCCAACTTACAAAGGAGACTTATAAGGGTTTATAAACTAATAAAGGAGGCTGACAAGCACCTTGCCAGAGATAATATTACCTGCCATTCCCCCAGGCCCTAGTTCTCTCTCCCATAGATATATGTGTTCCCAACTCAAGAAGCGTTGGGCAGCTAAGTCACTGAGCAGCTAAGTACAACGGCCTCCACTCTTGATCCTTAATCTTCCCTAACCAAGGAAGCCAGTAACTGAAAGCACAGACTGAAGCAGAATGGCTTGAGTTTGAGCAAGGGAGTTAGCGCAAAGGGCTAGAAGACATGCTTTGCATGCAGGAGGCTGGGGTTCAATCCTTTAGAACCTCCAGGAGCCAATCCCAAGCACTGAGCCAAGAGTAACCAGATCATAGCCAGGTATGGTCCAAAAAACAAAGGAGGACAAAAAAAGGCTTGGGTTTAAATCTCAGGCCTGCTTCTAACAAGCTGGGTGTCCTTGGGCAGATTACCTAAATGTTTCCTGTCTTTTTTTTTCAAATCTGTGACATAAGGATAATTATCACTTCTATTTCCTATGGTTATTGAGAGGAATAAATGGAACTATGCATGTAGAGAACTTTGAACGGGTGTGGAATACAGAAAATGCACCTTTAACTTTAGTGGTTTCTATTTTCTAGCTGTTAGCATCATTATCATTCTTATCATTATCATCATGGACTTGCTGGTTATCTTGGGAAAGTCATTCAATTTTTTTTCCTCATTAGTCCAGTGATCCTATCCTTGCCTCCTTTTACAAGAATCAAGTAAAATAATAACAGGGTTTAGGGGGGAGAGAAAGGCTCCCTGAGAAAACTTTATAGCCATCAGTTATAAAGCCTAGATTTCAGAGTTATCTGCTATCCCTCCAAAACCCTGATAAGTAATTTAATAATTATTTGATAATTTGGCACCTAACCACCTTTCTTTCTTTTTTTTTTTTTTGGCTTTTTGGGTCACACCCAGTTATGCACAGGTGTCACTCCTGGCTCCACACTCAGGAATCACCCCTGGCAGTGCTCAGGGGACCATACGGGACGCTGGGAATTGAACCCAGGTCGGCCGCGTGCAAGGCAAACGCCCTACCCGCTGTGTTATCACTCCAGCCCATAACCACCTTTCAAGTATGCTTTTGCACTCTAAATTAGAATTCTTTTTTTTGTGACTAGTAGAAACTGATTTTTAGACATAGCTTTACTTGTAAGATTCTTTTTACTCATAACATCCCTTCCGTTTTCTTCAAAATATCTAAATCTTCTATGTCCAACACAGTCAGTTTCACAGCTAATTTTTTTTTCTTTTTGGGTCACACCCAGCGATGCTCAGAGGTTACTCGTGGCTCTCACTCAGGAATTACTCCTAGTGGTGTTCAGGGGACCATATGGGATGCTGGGGATCAAACCCAGGTCAGTCACATGTAAGGCAAATGCCCTACCTGCTCACTGCTAATTCATACCACATATATGGGTCTTCCAGGTAGATGTAAAATTTTTCTCTTGTGATGACATAATTTTTACCCCCAATTTCTGGGGCCTGCAAAAAATTATATTTCTTTCATCCAAATAGAGTTAAACAAGCAGGTAATTCCACTAAATTCATCAAAATCCAGAAATATCCCAAGTGAGGGCAGTTTGGAAAACCACACTATAAAACCAACTCTTTTGTTGTTTTTGGTTTGTGGACCCCACCCAGCAGTGCTCAGGACATTCTCCTGACACAGCTTGAAGGAACCATATGTGGTGCCAGAAAGAGATCTGGGGTTGACCACATGCAAAGCAAGTGTCAAACCCTTGTACTACCTCTCTGGCCCCATAAAACCAACTTTCTTAAGCTATGCAGGATGGATTCTCTACCGTGGAGATATGCACATTTCGGCTTTTGAACTTGCCCTTGATCTGAGAGAAAATAAAGTATTATTCCAGAAGAATTCCAGTTTATGATTACTTGGGGCTTCGTTTTTGTTTGGGGGTTACACCATACAGTGCTCTTGGCTTGGTGCTCAGGGGTCACTCCTAGAGGTGCTTGGAGTGCTTGGACTCACTTCGAACCATGAATCAAGCCTGCCAGGAATGATTTCTGAGCACAGAGTCAGGAGTAACTGCTGAGTACCCCTGGGTTTGTGTGCCTCTAAAACAAACCAAAACAAAACAAAATCTCCATTGGTTGCTTCAGGATTCTGATTTAGTTTGCCAGGAATATAGTCAGGGATAATTTGCAAAGAATAGGATCACAGGAATAGTCAGGCATGTGTGAAAATCGCCAGGAATAGGGTCTGGAGTGTGTTTGTGTGTGTGTGTGTGTGTGTGTGTGTGTGTTTGTTGCTCTGGGAACAGTGCTCCAGGGGGTCTGGGGTGTGTGTGTGTGTTTGTTGCTCTGGGAACAGTGCTCCAGGGGGCCTGGGGGGTGTGTGTGTATGTTTGTTGCTCTGGGAACAGTGCTCCAGGGTCATTTTCAGCTGTTCTGGGGGGAGCGGGGAATTATGCTGTGCCTGAACAAAATCCAGCCTCCCACCCCCACAGTCCATCTCTCTCCAGCCAATCAACGTGTTATAAAACTTCCCAGAGGATTCTTACTTTCCACCAGGGCAGAGGGCAGAGACCCGCACATGTGTTGCCCCCGCCCCCCCCCCCCCCCCCCCCCCCCCCCCCCCCGTGAATAAATTAACAAAGGGCCTCTCTGGATGGTCCCTACAGGCAAAGGCCAATGGGAAACTTCATGTTTTACAGATGGGACATGGAACTCCGAGGAAAGGACCTTCCCCCAGCACCTCGGCAAGCCCTCCAAGGGAAGCTCTGGCCCGGGGTAGTGCAGGGCCTCTGGGGCTGAGCACTGGGAGTGGAAGGGTGGGGGAGGCGGGGTTGGAAGGTTGTGGGCGGGTGCTGACCCCTCTTTCCTATCCATATGGATGACACTGTCAGAGATGGGGGTGGGAGGGAAGGAAGGGTGGATTGTCAGGACTGAGGACAGGCCATACTGTTTATATAAAATCCCCACCAGGGGGAAGCCAAGGGAACCCAAATCCTACTCAATTTTCCTTTGAGAAGGGAAAGCTCTTAGGTTATGGGGTCAGCTCATCGTTCTTGCTTATCTGCCCACTGCCTCCTGCACCCAGCCCAATCCAGGGGAGCAACCCGGCTGCACGCAGGACCCAGCAAGAGGTGCTGGCAGTAGGACCAGAGCGTCTCTCTCCTTCTCCCCAAGTTCCCTATGCCCAGATCCATCCATCCTGGGCGCCGTAGGGAAAGGGCTCCTATATGGAGGGAACTGAGTCTTTGTGTGCCTTTGCTGTGTTCCCAGCTCTGGCAGCCGAGTGAAGAGGGAAGGTTTTTGAAAGGGTGAAATGGAGAGGTAGGGAAACCCCACATGACACCTATCTGGGAGGGGGGAGAAAAAAATGGTGCAGGGTGGGCTGGATAGTACAGTGGAGAAAGCACTTGAACTGCCTATGGCCAACCTGGGTTTAATCTCCAGCATCCCAGATAGTCTCCCCTTTCCCACCCCACCCCACCCCCGCCCCCACAAGTGCAGAGCTAGGAGTAATCCCTGAGCATCGCTGGGTGTGGCCCCCCCAAATCAAAACAAATAAATAAAGTGCCTGCTGGGGCCAGCAGGTAGGGAATTTGCCTGACAGTCAGCGACCTGGGTTCAATTCCCTCCACATTCCCCACCCCCCAATCCCATCCCATATGGTCCCTCACCCTTGCCAGGAGTGATCCCTGAGCAGAGTCAGAAGTATGCCCTGAGCAGCCCAGTCCTCCTCCTCACCACCCCCCCCCCCCCCCGCCAAAAAAAGGAAGAAGAAGAAAAAAATGCTAGCTTCAGAGAAGTTTCCAGCTTCTAGTGCTCTCAGTTTTTCAAGAACCAGCGGTCCGGAGACCCCGCCTCTCCCCTCAGCCCAGTCCCCTTTTGGACTGGGCGGGCCAGGACCGAGAGGGGGTGGGTTTGTCCTCCAGCCGCCCCGCCCCCCTTTACTGTCAGGAAACTGAGCCCCGTCTGGAGGGAAGCCTGGAGTCCCCCCGGCGCCGCCCGGACCCCCAAACCTCCCTTTCCAGCCCCCTACCTGTGACCACGGTGACGAGACCCGGCTCCTGCTCCTGCTCCTGCGAAGGTCTGGGCTGCAGCCGCAAGAGGCTGGACAGGCTGAGCAGCTGGCTGGTGACGCTCACCAAGTACCAGGTGCCGTCCAGCGCGCGCGGGCAGCTCCGCTCGGGGGCCAGGCCGGCGGCCCAGGGCGCAGAGGCGGGCAGCGGCACGTAGTGGCTCACTTCGCAGTGCGGCGCGGGGGCGTCCCGGGTGACGCGCTGGAAAGCGACCCTCAGGGCGCCAGCGGGGTCTGGGCGGCGGAGACAGCAGCGCGGGGGTCGGCGCCCGGCCGGGGAGGGGCGCGCAGGGCGTCGGGGCGGCCCCCACCCCCACCCCGGCAGGAGGAACCGGCCGCGGGGAGGGACCGCGGCCGAGGGGATGGGGTGGCGGCGGAGACTCACCGTGCACCTGCAGGTAGAACTCGGGGCCGAGGTCGGGCCGGGGCGGCACGGGCCCCTCGCCCGGGCGCAGCAGCAGCGCTGCGGGCTTCTTCTCCAGGCGGCCGCGGCCCGCGTCCTGCACGAACCAGCAGTCGAGCACGGCGGGTCCCGCCGCGACGGGCGCGCAGCCTGCGGAGAGGGGCGCGGGTGAGGGCGGGGCCGGCCCCCACGGTGCCCGGGCGTGGGGGGCGGGGGGCTCGCTCACCCACGGCCACGGCGAGGAGCAGGAGCACGGGCTGCATGGCGGCGCGATCTCGGTCCCGGAGCCCCGCGGCCTCGGCCCCTTTCGCTTTCGCTTCCCCGGCGGGCGGCTCCCAGGAAATCCCCCGCGCTGGAGCCGAGGGCGCGGCGGCGGGACAGGTGCGGTCCCGGGGCCGGGCCAGGGACCCCCCCCATGCTCCCATGCTCTGGTCACGCCCAGCCCACGGTCACGCGTGGCAGGTGCGGTCCCGGGATCGGGCCAGGGGCGCCCCCCCCCATGCTCCCACGCTCTGGTCACGCCCAGCCCGCTCCTTGCCCCGCTTGGGGCACCGTTCCCACCCCGCCCTACCCACCTCTACCAATACACAGGAGCTAGAGAAAAGCCAAGTGAAATGACCAATAAATATTTTTTAATCACCGTTTTAAAAAAAATAAGATTTAAAATAAAAACCTTGGACTCCTAAGGATTTACTCCCGCATTTCCAAGCCCTCCCCGTAGAGAATCCAGTTGCGTGGGGTGCGGGGGAGGAGGGTGGGAATAAAGGCCTAAGGGAGGGTCGGGGCGGGGGGTCTAGGACACGGGCGGGGACACAGGCCCGGCCCCCACAACACCACGAACACAGACATCACGGACACACCAAAACCGCCTGGCCCTTGACTCTGGCGCGTTAGGATGCTCCACGGACCCCCCCACGCCCTCCCCCCATTTTCCCGACGCCCCGTTCTGGAGCGAGGGGCCTCCGGCACCTGTCGGAGGGAAGGGCGGGCATCGTCCTGGGGGGTCCTTCCAGGAGAGCAGGGCCGAGGAGTTCCGGGGGTGCGTGGCCGGCGATGCCACGTGGGTCCCCGTCCAGAATATATACAAGTCCACAGAGATAAGGAAGACAGTGAGTGTGCTGGGAGGACATCGGGCCAGCGCGCCCCCGACCCTCTTCCCTGAAATGCCCCTCCCGTCAGTTCGCTCCTCCGCCCCCGTTGAAGCCCATCTCCACCTTGGGGACGCTGGGCGGGGACCAGCCACGGCGGCCGGCCGGGGGCGTAGCCACACTGTTCTCCTCGCCGCTGGCCCCGCCAGCTCCCGGGGACTCTCTCTTGGGCGGCAAGGCGGGTCCGGTGGGGGCGCCCGGACCCGGGCCCGGTCCGGGTCCCGCGCTGCCCAGACGGTGCCGCCGCTCACAGTGTCCCCGGTGACGCATGAAGCTGTCGCGCCACATGAACTTTTTGGCGCACACACCGCACTCGTAGGGCTTGAGGCCCGTGTGCGTCTTCATGTGCTCGGTCAGGTGATGCTTCATCTTGAACTTCTTGTTGCACACGGGGCAGTCAAAGGGCCGCAGGTTGAGGTGCATGTTCACGTGGCGGTCGCGCATGCTCTTGTGGGAGAAGGCCTTTCCACAGTGGCACAGAAAGATCTTATTCCCATCCCCAGTGCCCGTGGCCACGGGGGTCCCGCCAGGGCCACCTGGCACCCCCAGCCCCGCAGCCGGGGAGGCCCCCAGGGTCACCGCCCCGTGTTCAGCTTGGTTTCCCGGTGGCTGGCCTGGAGCCTGTGAGGAGGAGGAGGAGGAGGAAGAGGAGGAAGAGGAGGATGGGAAGACCAGGATCTGATTGCCCTGCATGTCCAGTGGGAGCAGGGGTCGAGGCGGGTGGGAAGGGCCATAGGAGGAAGGGGTGGGCCCTCCTGGGTCATCGAGGCCTGGCCCAGGACCCCCACCCTCATAGGGGCCAAAGTCATTGGAAGACTCACAGAAATTGACTTGCTCTTCTCCCTTGTCTGGAGGCTCCGTCAGTGTCCGGACATCACTGATGCTAAGGGTGGCCTCAGGTGCTCCCCCGGCTGGAACCCTGGAGCCACCCCCCAGCTCTTCATCTTCATCATCCTCACAGGTCAGTACCAAATCTTCCTCCTCCTCCTCCTCTTCCAGATCTGGGTCTTGGGGAGCTAGGGGCACTGGCGCTGGGCAGTTCCCACCCCGCTTCACGTAAACCCAGTGTTTCTGTGGCATGATGCTGGGGGGTGCGTAAGTGGGTCGTCGGAGGCCAGATCCAGGGACCACGGCACCCCTTCCGTCCCCACCATCATCACACAGCTCGTCTGCCTCCAGCAGCAACTTCCCAGAGGTAGCCCCCCCACTGCCAACCACAGGGGCTGGGAAAACAGGGCCACTCCCTCGACGCTCGCCACTGCCCACTGCTGACGCCGTGAGCGCCTCTTGGGAGGAGGATGAGAAATCAGTGGACTCCCGGGGACTGAAGTAGTTGCTGCTGCTGGGGGACTGGTTCTCACTGGCCCGGCTGGAGGCGTGGGAGCGCAAAGAGCCCATGGTGGCAGTGGCTCCACTTGCTGACGGGGCCCCAGCACCGGGGACCGTGACTGAGGTGGCTGCAGCAGTGGTGATGGTGGCAGTGGCCGACGCCCGGCCTTCACGAAGGAGTTCAGTGCACTTGTCCACAATGTGCCACATCTGGAGCACAGACCCCACGGTGAGGAAGTTGACAATGTCCGCAGTGGCCATACTGAGACGGCCGGTGTAAGCTGAGGCCAGGACGGTCTCGAAGGCGCCCGGGTCCATGACGCTGGGCAGAGAGATGGAGGTCATGCCCTTGAGCAGGACCTGGTCGTGGAAGTAAGGGGAGGAAGCAGCCAGGACAGCACGATGAGCCCTGAATTCCCGGCCCTGGACTCTGATGGACACATCGCAGAGCTGGCCCTGCAGCCGCTGCTGATTGAGGGACTCCAGAAGGGCACTGGTCACCTCGGGAAAGGACACGTGGACCACGGCAGCTGCAGGCAAGGGCAGTGGAGGAGGAGCCAGCGACAGAGGCAGGGGAAGTGCTGCCCCACCAGGGGACAGAGCAGAGGGCTCCATGGCCTGGAGGGAGGGGGTACCCCCCCAGCCACAAGTACAAGGGAAGGAGGAGGGCGGCCGGGGGGGTCTCTGGGGAGAAAAAAAGAGAGAGAACAAGAAGATATCTCATAAACACAGTCCTTTATGGATGAAAAACATGGTCACACCCATCATTACCTGAGTAACTCCACATCACTGTGAAGTCCATAATCCTCTTCTACCCATCTGACACCTAAACTGAATTTAATACGGTCACAGCCATCAAACAAATGCACAAGCAACACAAAGCAAAAGCAGTGCTCTTTCCTTGGAAATCAGAAAAATCGATGTTCTTCAGGAGTGGCATGGCCCCTCTTAGAACTTTCTATATTCCTGAGCGCCTGATTTTCCAAAATCTACCCTCTGCAAGCCTGTCTTTGGGGAGGTAAAGTCCGTTCCGCCACGGAAAACCATCCCTCTTCCCACTTCCCTTAAGGTTATGCTATGCATTCCCCCCCACCCCCCAAATCCCGCTCTTTCGCCGGCCACGCCCCTCCGCCCCCTGCGACTCCGTGGCCCCGCCCCCGTAGCCCTGTCGGCTCCGCCCCTTGTCTACCCCCGCCCCCATCGACCCCGCCCCCTCTGCTCCGCCCCAGGAGCCACTTCGACCTCCTCTCCCACCCGGAAGGTGCCCCCCAACCCCGCGCGTCCCCGCTTACCGGCCGCGCGCCCCCGGGCCCCCCCCGCCCCTCACTCGGCGGCCAGAGCCACAGCCTGGGCCCCTCCCGCCGCCATCTTGCGCCGACTCCCTCCGCCCTCCGCCTCCGCTCCGCCTCCCGCCCCTCCGGCATTAAAGGCATAGGCAGACACCCCGCCCGAGCCGCTGGGCAATACTCGGCCGACGCAGCCACTTCTCCTTTAAAAAGCATTCGCCTCATTCCACCTTAAAGATACCAGGTCTCTTCCGCCGCTGAAGACTCAGGTCTTGGTTCGGCCGAGGCACTCACTCCCCTTTAATTTCGTTCGCCTGCCTCTTCCCATTGGCGACGCGTCCGGGCCTTGGCAGTTCAGGTTCCGCCCCCGAGCCGCAGCCATTAGCCCGGCGGCCGCGTCTCCGGCTCTGACAGTCCCCCCGAAGCCCCGCCCCCTTCCTCCGGGCCCGGATTGGCCGAGTGACCCCGAGCGGGCCCTGATTGGCCTCTCCACCCCGACTGCTCCAAGTGGGAAAGTGAAGCGCTCCCGGGCGGGAGCTGGGCTCGGCTCTGGGTCGGCGCGGTTGGGCAGCGCGGCCAGAGTGGAGAAGCTGGTCCGGAGAGGAAGGCTCCGGGCACGGGAGGCCTGGTGCAGGGCCCTCCGGCCCCGCCAACCCTGACCCAGGGACCAGCTGATATTGTTCCGTGCGCACAGGACAAGGAAGTCAGGTATACGTACAGTAAGAAAAGAATTTTATTAATATTTGTGTAAAATGCATCTTTATTGAAAAGAAACACGGCCAGTGAGGGATTAGCTCAGTCCATCCCTTCCTCAGTCCTTGGCTGCCCACCAGCCTTCGAATACTATCCCCAAACATTTTGGAGGCGGGGTGTGAGGCAAATACTATCCCCAAACGTTTTGGAGGCAGCTAATCCGAGTCTGAGAGCACGATAATCTCTTCGGGATCGCACTGTGTGGCCACACTCGTCTGCAAGGGAGAAAAGAATCAAGGGAGAGGTCTGCAATAACGGGAGGGGGAAGGGTTTCCTAAAGGGGGATGGGGGGAGGGGGAGAGCATGTAGTTGGATGCACCATTCTGACAGAACAGGGAAGGAGAGAAAGCAGGTCAGGAAAAACAGCCTCCCCCTCTTACCTTACAAGTACCAGGCCGGATGGGCTGTGGTGGGGGGTTTGGGGGAAACCGGGCTGGAGATGGGCTGCAGAGGGAGCTGGTCACGAGGGCATGGCTAGGAGAGTCCACCCTCGTGGAGGAATCAGCAGCCCGGGCCAAAGAGGCCACAGGGGAAGGAGGGTTGGGAAGGACACGCATCTTCCCATTCTTCTCACGCACCGGGCTCTGCCTCTCTATATACCTAGGGACAGGAACACAGCATAAAGCAGGGTCTGGGAGCTGAGGGCTGGACTGGGGTCTATGCAGTCGCTCCGCGCAGACTCAGTTTCTCCGTACACTCAGGGCGCCCTTTCAGGGCTTGGGCAATAGGTCGGGTTAGAAGCTGTCTTGCACAAGGCCCACTGCAGTCCCTGAGCACTGCCAGAAGCCATCCCTGGCACAGAGCCTGGAGTAGTTCCCAAGCATCACCAGGTATGGTCCAACACTCCTCTCCCCCCCAAAAATATACAGAAAGCTCCCTGCAGGGTCGGGAGGGAGGACCTCGCCGAGTGCTGGAGTGGAGTGAATGGCAGTATGCTGCATATGTCGGCATCTGGGTTCAGTGCCCAGCATTGCCTGGACACTAAGTACTGCCGGACCTGGCTCCCACCCTGCAATGAAGCTCCCTCTAATCCCTCCATTTTTTTTCTTTTTTCTTTTTTTGCTTTTTGGGTCACACCTGGCAATGCACAGGGGTTACTCCTGGCTCTGCACTCAGGAATTACTCCTAGCAGTACTCAGGGGACCATAGGGGATGCTGGGAATCGAACCCGGGTTGGCCGCATGCAAGGCAAACGCCCTACCTGCTGTGCTATCGCTCCAGCCCCCCTAATCTCTCCTTGGTGCTGTTACCTGTTTTCTAAAGGCCCTGCTTCTGTCTGCTTCTCCTTCCGAGATTTTTTGCAGGGGGGGCTGGAATCTCGCCAGGTATGAGAGACACCTCCATTAAAGGAAGTGGAGGTGACCAGAGCTGCTCCATTCTCCACGACAGTGGTGAGGGGCTCATCGGGTTGTTTTCTGGAAGAGGAAATGTCCCTGTCTTCGGGGGATGGGGTGGCATCCAGAGTCACGGCTTCAATCTCCAGCTCAAAGATCTGGGACATGGGGCTCTCCTCTGCCACGGGTAGTTCCTCCAGGTGCTCGCCGTTGCTTTCGGCATCTAGGCTGGGGGGCGCCAGGGGCTTTCCTGACAGTGAGGACGGCGACACTCTGAGTTCTTTATCTTGCAGTTCCCCCAACGACTCCCGGATTCCAGTGCTCTGTTCCAGTTTGACTTTGGTGAACACCTGTGGCGGGGACATGGGGCTCTTGTCTCCATCTTGACCTAGAAAAGGAGAGGGGAAGGGCTGCATGAGAACCGGGGGAAAGAATATAGCTGGGGGAGAACAAGAGTAAGAGGAGGAAGTGAAAGCACCCAGGTGGCTCCCGCCAACAGAGCAGAGGAAACTGATGTGAGAGGACCGTTTCCTTGACATACCTGTTTCCTCCTCCTCCTCCTCCTCTTCAATGTCCCCCAGACCTTCCTGTATCTGCTCCAGATCCTCATCCTCCTCAGAATCTGTGACCTCCTCCTCTTCCTCATCATCCTCTTCTTCCTCCTCACTCTCCTCATCATCTTCATCATCCGTCTCAGCCTTAGAGGTGTTAAGACACTCCTGGGCTGCCATCCCACTAGGACCCTGGAATTACAAAGGAGTTTCTCGAAGGAATCCGTTGGCCCAGAGAGGCTCGCTCTTGCATTCCTTCTACACTGCCCCATCAGACCCCCTGGATGCCCGCGCAGAAGGACCAGGTCTAGCTCAAGGGTCTAACCCTCCATACCTCACCAGATTCCAAGGACGTCCCAGAGGGAGGGTCTGCAGAGTGGGACGAGGAGGCCTGGGGGAGCCGGGCTCTTCTCCTCTGTCTCTCGCCCTCCTCACTCTGGTCTTGCATCATCGCATATTTGGTGATGATCTCATCCAGCCGGCTCATGGCCAAGCTCCTGTTTTCCCTTAGGCGCCGGGCTAGGCCAGGATCTGAAAGTGCAGGGTCAATGCCTAGATGGGAAGATAAGAAGTTAAAACACTCAGCCCAGAAGAAGAGACCCGACCTGGAACAGTTACCAGTGGGCCCCTCACCAGTCCCAACCTGGCCTATATTCATCCGTGAGGTGACAGCCAAAGTTGTAGATGAGATCCAGGTGGCGTCGCTCTTGTAACCGGACGCCCACGTCTCGGAAGGCATCCTGGGCCATGAGCTGGAGCTGCTGTCGAGGGAGGCCCAGGCTGTGGCGGGTCGCGGCCTTCTCCACTGCCCGCAGGACATCTCCATAGTCAGGGAAAGTGTCGAGCCCGGGTTTATTGATGAGCCGCTCAATGCGCCGGTTCACCTCAGGGTAGCGGGTCCCCCGGTAGGGGATGCGCTGCTCGATGACGCGGCCCGTGAGCGACGAGCACTCTTTTAGCTCGCACAGTCGTCCGAAGAGGCGGATCAGCTTCCGCTTCAGCCTGGCCTCCTGCATGTATGTGGAGTCCGGGTCGTTTAATTCGGTGAGGTCCAACTCCTTCTCCTGCAGTCGCCGGATCTCAGCCACGTACAGCGCCAGCAGCTGCTCCAGGCGCTGGATCTGCCGCCGGGAACCCCGGGTCCTTGGCACCTCAGAGGCGGTGGTGGTGGCACTGGGGTCAGCGTCCGAGGAAGGGTTTGGGAGGGGGTGACTCCCAGAGGGTTCACCAGCGGCGGTGGCAGCCGGGGCCAGGTTCAACTTTTTTTTGGCAGAGTTGGCCTTAAGAACAGTGCAGAGCTCGTTAATGTAGACATAAAGCTTAGCTGGTTGGTTCCGGGCCCGGGACAGGACCCGAGTAAGGACATTGCAGAACTCCGCTGAGGCCAAGAACAGAGGGTGGGCCCGATGCTGCCGCTCAGAGAGGAATGGGACCACCTCAGGGTGGTCCGCCGTCTGCGTCTTACACAGTGCAAGGAACTGGCGGAATCGGAGAAGTAATGGAGGGAGAGGGGACGGGGGGGGGGGGGGGGGGTGAAGAAACAAGGGACAGGGGTGAGAGAAAGAAGGTGAGGGGTTAGCGGGAAAGAAAGTACCAAGAGCCAGTGGTGCCAGCCTCCCCCCGCCCTGTGTCAAGAAACCTTCTCCCCTAAAGCTCACCTCTTCAAACAGCTTCTTATTCTCCAACTTGTAGCATTTCTTGCCGCCAGAACTAGTGCTTCCCCCAGCCCCCGGGGGCTGAGAGGAGCCAGAGGCCTCAGCCCTGGATGAGGTGGAACTGGGGGGTGGGTGGGAAGGCCCTGGCTGAGCAGCGGCTTCGTCTTCATCATCATCATCATCCAGCACGATGATGCTGTTAGCGGTGGCCATGGGGGATCAAATCCCCCGGAGGGAAGTGGTGGGGGTTTCGGAATTCCTGCTGGAAGGGGTTGGGGCCTCAGAAAGAGCCCCTGCAGCCTCACCCCATCCCATCACACATTTGCCGGTCTTCTGGAGGGTGGTAGGGATTGTTGACACCCAGACGGAGACCCCAACAGCGTCCTCCAGGCCTCTCTTCCCACTTGGACCATCGGCCTCTGCAGGCTTTGTACCCCCAAACTACCAGAAAGCCTTCAAGTGCTCTCCCACCCACCCACCCCGCCCCTGCCGTGGTATCCTGTTTCTAGTTTCCATTTCCCTGCTGCGGCTCACAGTGGCCAAGTTGACTTTCCCAGCCCCCACCCACCCCAGCCCACCGGGCCCACCCAGGCCCTGCCACTGGCTTCCTCAGCCCACTCTCCGTCAGCTGAAGTCGGTCCCGGGTTCTGCCCATTGCTTGGGCCCCAGACCCAAGTCCCACTCCCTCCTGAGGACAGCTTCCTGCCAAATCCCCTCCCCCAGCTCGGCCGCCCCCCCCCCCCATGAGCCACTAAGTGCCACGCGCTTCTCCAGGCTCTGTGCCACCCCGGGACCCGAAAACCCCGAGTATCCCCACGCCCAGCTCGAACCCCTCAAGTGGGGGTTCAGCGTCCAGTTTCGGATCTCCGCTATCGTCCCAGCTGCCAAGCGGGAGCCCTCCTTCCAGCGGGAGCCCTGGGCCGCCTCCCGGTCACTCTCGGGGCTCCTGCCCGGCCCGTGTGGAGGTGCCCCCCCACACCCCAACCTGGCACCACCGCGAGGGTGGTCCCCCTCCTCAAATGCACCAAAACCTACACCCTCAACCCTATTCTTTAGGGTCACGCCAACTCCTAGACTCCGGAGCAAAGGAGGCATCTCTCCAAACAAGCCGTTCCTTGGACTTTTTTACGCCCCCCTCGGATGGGTCTCAACTGGGGCAGGAGGGAGGAGACGTTTCACCGCATCCCACCGGCTTCCCACCCGGAATCCCCCCCACCCCAATTCTCTCCCTGTCACCTCCAGCCGGCCCCGAGCCCCGTCCCGGCACCTCCCAACTGCGCTCGGACCCCAGATCCGAGTCCCACCGCCTGCTCGGGGGATGGGGGGAGGCAGCTTCCCTCCAAGCCCCCTCCCCCAGTTCGGACCCGGCCGCCCCACTCCCCTTTTAGACAGAGACGCGAAGGTGCCGCCGCGGGCCGCTCGCACTCGGCGCCCGGGGCTCCCCGGCACCTCGCCCTCCCGGGTCCCGCCCCGGCGCCGCTCCCCGCACGGCCCGGCCCCCACCTCAGAAACGGTCTGTCGAGACGACCCTCGCCGCGGTTCTCAGAACCTCGCATGGTTCCTCCGCCTTCTGCCGCGGATCCCTCCCCCCGCGGGCCGACTCCGAACCGGAAGTCGAAGCGCTTCCGCCCGGAGCCTCCGCGGCGGCCATGTTGTCGTACGGACTCCGACGGCCGGAAGTGACGGAGCGGCTCCTTTCCCCTGGGCCGGCGGGCGGTTTACGCCTCCCTCCCTCCGCCCGGTTGGGCGGGCTTATCTCCGCGGAGGATTCCCAGACTACCTTGGGGCAGCCATCTTGCCGTACGGCGCTGCCTAGGCCCGGCCCGGGCGTGCCGCCAGGGAAGCTCCTTTCTCCCGGTGCTGCCGCGTCTCCGCCAATCACAAACTTCCTGCATCCGGCCCTGCGGCTGGCCTGTCGCGTGCGGCGAAGAACGCGCCACCCCTCGCGGTCGGGGCCGGGGCTCCGCGGAGGATAAAGGACTTCTCCGGGACGCCTTCGGCGCTGGCGGAGGGCCCGGGGGTCTCTCGAGAGGGAGTGACCCCCGCCCGCCCCTCCCCTTCCCTGGATGCTGCCTTCCTTGCGGCTTTCCAGCAGCTGCTTCTGTGCCAGCCGCCTGCGTCTCCCAGTCGTGAAGTCCCACACGTCCACAAATGAGTACCACGCGCTAGACAGATGCGTCGTTATCTGTGGGTAGACGGGATCGTTACCATCACACGCGACGCCTCGCTGCTGTGGTCGGGCAGTTTTTCCAGCTCTATCGCCACTAAAGCGGCCGAGCTAGCAGGTGGGACCTAGGTCCGTCCTTTTCCGAGGAGAGTCGGGGAGTCAGTCGCCAGATGCAGGCGGGGATCACCACGTTGTGGGGTCGCAATCGTTAGCCACCCCATCCCCCCCACCCCCAGGACCGAATTAAGAATCTGAAGGAGTCTATTGACACCGACTGGCCGGCTGTCCTAGGCAAGCGCAGCCTCACAGCAGAAGTACTGTTTTTTTTATTTAAAAAAAGCTCATCCTGGTGCCCCCTCCGCCGCCCCCACCCCCGCCCCAGTACTTTCCTGAACACCTGAAAATTTGTTTAGCTCACCAGGCCTACATCCTGGTGCCGGGTAAATTCACGCAAAGGCAGCAAAGCAAGATTGTTACAGAGCAAAAGTGGTTCTAGCTGGAGTCCATGAAGCAAACAGTCATTATGGTTTAACCATATCCCTTTAGGACCCCAGCCTATTGTTCCTGTTTGCAATCCCTGATGGGCTTTCTGGCCCTTGCCGGAAGTTCAGTGTGCTGATGCAGTATCTTAAATCAGGTAAAAAATAAACTTTGAAAAACTAAACTTTCAGAAGGTGCAGGCAGGGATCACCAGGAGTCCGTGCTTAAATCCAGGAGCCCCAAGACCTGAGGAGGTGATGGACTCTCAGGCTTTGAGTAGAATCTGCAAATTGCTGCTCAGTGCTGGAATGATGTGAGGCTTGTATAATACTTCCTTCTCTCTTTCCTAGAGAAGAACCTAGACAAGTGGAAAAATAAAACAACTGATGGCAAAGTCCACCTCAACCTGTTTAGGGAACCTGGAGGAACTCAAGGAGGCATGGGTATCCAAAGGGGAGTTTCTAATGAGAGATCTGAGAGGGTCACATGGTTTCAATCTTTGGAGCTTCCCACCTCCTGAAACAAAGACTGCAGAGTTCTCGACTAGTGTGATAGCACAGGGGATAGAGTGCTTGCTTTGCACGCCATTTAACCCTGGTTCAGTTCCCAGCAGTCCATATAATCCCCTGAGCACCACCAGGAGTGATCTCTCTGGGTATAGACTCAGCAGTAAGCCAGGTGTGCCCTCCCCCCCAAAAAAAAACACTGCAGCGTTCCTTAGATCGGAGCCCCATATCCACAAACTCTCTCTCTTATGAAAGGGACCCAAACTACTTCTTGCCACTCACCTAAGCTTCAGTGTTAAACTGGAGAATGGAAAAACTCCCTGAAAGGGACTCAGACTTGAGAGGTAACATTTCCAGGTTTCAACTTTCCCCAAATTGATCTCCCTGTGTAAATACCTGCAGTAGAGGTTCTTTCTTTCCCCTGATACTGTACTCTTTCCCTCATGAAAAAAGTTGAAAGTATAACTACCTGCCATGAAATCTCCTGGAAACAATGTTGTCTTAAAGAGATGTGTAAGGGCCAGAGCATAGTACAGCAGTTAGGGCGTTTGCCTTGCATATGCGGCCGACCTAGGCTCAATCCCCAGCATCTCATATAGTACCCCAAGCACCGCCAGGAGTAATTCCTTAGTGCAGAGCTAGGACTAATCCCTGAGCATGCTGGGTGTGACCCAATCACACCCCTCCCCCCATAAAGAAAAGATGTGTAGCCTCTTTCATGAAGACTTTATAAATTCCACATTGGCTAGCTCATTAAAATGTTACTTTGGGCAGTAAAGCCTTGTCTTGCTTGTGTGAAGCTCTGAGTTCAATCCCTGGCTTAAAAAGTCTAGGGGCCAGAGAGATCGTGCAGAAGTTAAGGTGTCTTGTCTGCAGCCAACCCAGATTTAATCCCCAAGCCCTATATGATACTATCAGGAGTGATCTCTGAGTGCATAGGAGTGAGCCCTGTGCACAGCTAGGTGTTACCCAAATTCTCCCTGCCCCTCTGCCCACCCATCCCCAATAAAAACCAGAAAAAGTCTAGTTTTATTTTTAACAACTTAAATATAGGGTTGCACTGGTGATGTGATTCAGCAGTAATCTGCATGTCTTGCACGAATGAGATCTTGGTTTGATATTTTGGGGGAGAGGGCATACTTGGTGATGCTCAGGGCTTTCTCCTGGCTCTGCACTCAGGGATTACTCCTGGCAGGGGCTCAGGGGACCACACGGTGCATCTGGGATTGAACCTGGGTCAGCTGTGTCAAAGGCAAGTTCCCTACACATTGTACTATATAGATCTCTGGCCCCAGAATGGTTTTTTTTTTGGGGGGGGGCACCACACCTGGTAAAGCTCAGGGCTTACTCCTGGGTTTTTGCAATCAAGGAGAAAAATAGAGTGATGATTGTATAACTGAAACCCAAGCACAAAAATTTGTAAGTCTACAATTGTACCTCATGGTGTTTCACTAATAAAAATTTAAGGGAAAAAAAAAGTCAAAAAAAATAGTGATGAGAGTGGTAGTTTCTTGTTTTATTTTGGTTTTTGTTTGGGATATAGAGTGTACTGGAGATCAAAACTGGGTTGGCTGCATACAAGGCCAATGTCTTACCTGCTGTACACTCTCTGATCTATTTTCCTTATTTTTATTAAGGGGGGGGTGGGTTGGGCTACACCCAATAGTGTTCAGGGGCACTGACTTTAGGAGTGACTCCTGACGGTGCTTAGGGGACCATATGAGATGCTAGGAACCAGGCCTTAACCCCTGTACTATCTTTTTGGCCCTAAAAAAAAAATTTTTTTTTAAACATGTGAATACAAATTTAAAAAAATTTCCCTGGGCCAAAGTCTTACTCTTACAGTGGGTAAGAAGGCCTTGCATGCAACCAACTCGGGTTCAATCCCTGGCATCTCATACGGCCCCCTGAGCACTGCCTGAAGTAATTCCTGAGTGCAAAGCTAAGAGTAACCCCTGAGTATTGCCAGGTGTGGTCCGACACCCAACAGCAACAACAACGAAAGGGTTTTCCAGCAAGACCAGAGGGACAATATGGAACTTAAGGTTGCTTGCCTTGTATGCAGCAGACCCTGGCACCCAGGGTCCCCTGGAAACCTGCCCAGTTGGCTGAGAATCACTGGGAGAAAACACCAGCATTTCCTGAGCATAGTTTGGAAGTCAAACCCTTCCAAAGAAAATAATAACGGCAAACAAAAATTATTTCCCAAATAGGTACAGAAACTTGGTTTGTTTAGTTTTAGATTTGGGACCCCAAAACCAAAAGACTCTTGGAAAGCTGCTAAGATTCTTGGGGGACCATGAGGTGCCAGGGATTAAATCTGGGGCTCCTCCACCGTGGATCACCGGCCTGGAGTGGGGCTTGTGAATGTGGGTGCAGTGTGGCTGCAGGTGTTGAAGCTGGTGGAGCCCCAGCAGCTCTTGGTGCTAAGAGCAGTGGGCTGCCATGGCAGAAGAATTTTTGCATGAAGAATAGTGCTCTTTGGGGTGAACCTGTAACCACCATGGAGAACGGGTCCAGATTTGAGGATGCGCCCAGGTTTCCCACCATGGGGGCCCTGCTCGGGTGGCCCCGGGGACTCGCTGCTGGCAGGACGTCCCTGCCGCCACTGCTTCCCGGGATCAGCCCTTGCTGATGGTGCTATGCGCAGAGTATCATGGAGGAAAAATCTCCCTGAGCACCAGTTGCTTGGAGACCAGGTGGGAGGCCGGGGCATTGGGGGGAGGGGGGGCATGTGCTCCCGGGAAGGTTCTGCTGGACTGGTGGCTCTGGCCCACCCAGAGCACCTGAGCTGCATATGGTAGACACTTGGCCCTGGTCCTGGTGGCTGCTGGGACTCTGCCACCACCACCACTGGGGCCCAGAGGACACAGTGCCACAGGCAGTTCAACCTGGACCCTTTGGGCAAGAGCAGCAGCCTGATGGTGCCCTCGGGCTTTCTGACACCCCAAAGTTGCTTCTTTGGAGGCCAGAGCGATAATACAGTGAGTAGGGCATTTGCCTTGCACATGGTCGATCCAGGTTCATCCCTGGCATCCCATATTGTAGGGCAACACTATTTTGTCCTTCCTGTGTAGCCTCAGGTAGTTTAGGTTTATTGGGTTGTTCCCATCACAGTGCTCCCATTCCTTTGTGTTTATTTGTAACTTCTTACTTTGTGCTCTGTTGACTTGTAAATATTGTTTTTCTCTTCTCCCTAAATCCTTTGCATAATTTATTCAGAGCAGTGTCCTTTTTGTGTGGACACAAGAAGACAGTATATGCTATGCTTTTGTAATGTGACTCTCAGTGATACTTCCCTCCTGGGCATCTGTTCTCTCACCTAAGCCTCAGCCTTTACTTTCTAGCGCCCCCAAAAGCAGGGTCCCAAACGAGGGACTGGATGGAACCAGGGTGAGCAGTAAGCTATGCGCTACCCTGGCATGGAGATGGGCCTGGCCAAAGCGCCATAATGCTTACCTATAAATTAAGAGCTTGGTCATGGACAAAAGCTGTCATGATCCAAAAA